AGAATAGAGAAAAGTGACCAAACAAATTAAAGAATACAGATATGAAGGATTCCTCATCCAGACCCTCATATAAGGAATCCCTTTACTTAAACATTACAGACGAAGACTTGCTATTTTAAAAACGGAACTATAAACAACTGTCATACTAGTGGGACGTTACGCTAGCTATAAAACTAGGTTTACCCCACCATTTTCTTCGGTAATATGCCCGTTATTTTTTTCATTCGTTTCGTTGGTTGATATAGTCTAACGATTAATTTTGTCAGTTTTATGGACTTCCCCCTTTTTTGAATTTAACTTGGAGTTCGGTATTTTTGTTAATGCTATTTTCATGAAAGATGTTTCGCCGTTTTATTTCAAATATATGGAATCTGCACTAGTCAAAAAATTTATTGTAGCAAATACCGATACAAAACAAAACATTTCATTGCAGCTAGCTGATTATTTCTATTTGTCGATATCAGTTTAGACATAATAACAATCTTAAGGCTATCTAAACCTAGTACCCTTCAAACCTTTATGTCTATTGTAAGTTTCGATGGTATCATTGCCCGAATAGATTTGATCATTGTTCAGCTGTGCGACTACTTGCAAAAACTAGTTATAACCAGCGTTCACTTATGCACCTTCTATACAGTTATTTTATGCACTCGTGATACTACCATACAAATGCATGAAAACCAGGTGTAAGGGTTATATCGAAACAAACAAACAAACCCAATAAAAAACTAAACCATTAAATCTTAAAATGTAGTGAAATGTGATTAATTTTTATCAATTTGTTTATTTGTTTCAATAAAAAAAAAATCCATTTCGTGTTAAAAATATACTCACACAAAGTTGAATCTAATATTATTTTATTTTTATTAAGGGTTAAAAAAAATCATAAAAAGTTTTCTTTTAAGATAAAAATAAATCAGAATTAAAATTAGAAAGAAAAGAAAGGGTTTGAATTTGATGTGCTTCAAGTGACATGGTCATATAAAGTTATTTCAATTGGAGATTAATATCAATTAAAAATTGGAAAAAAAATAAAAATGTTTCTTTTATTTTGCCTGTTTTCAGTGAAATTCTATACATTTAATTTGAGGATTGTGCACGATCTCAATGACTTTAATTTGTTTTTTAAAAATTGCTTCTTAAACTATTAAAATTTTAAAATGTTCACCTTCCAAACTTTTTCCTCCCTAAGCTCATTGCTGATGACCTTTGTTTTGTTCCGCTTGACCTCAACAGGAAGTGGTGTAAGTAACTGTTTTTCCAGGATTGGATTAAATAGCGATGAGGTATGGTGGCCGGATGCGGCCATTTCGCGATTTCGCGTTTTCTCCTTTCACTTTCACGCGAAATCGGGAAATCGAGAAATCGGGAAATCGAGAAATCGGGAAATCGAGAAATCGAGAAATCGAGTATACCATAATAAGGTGTATTGTTTTCTGTATGTCCCATTAGGGTTGTTGTTGCTATGCATATGACCCAATTTTTGTAGAGCGCATCCAATGAGGTTTAAATCAGAATGCTGAATTAGGGAACACCACGCTGGAATGTAGGATATAGAGCGTGAGGATGTGGGATATTAGGGTAAAAAAAGGTGAATCTGAGAAAAAGAAGAAAAAATGGGAAGTGGTGAAAAAGGTCAAATTTGGAATTTATCCATTTTGAAAAACGTATATCTTAATCAAAATATTTATTATTTAGATAAGAAAACATTAAGCAATAACAAACATTTTAATTTTAGTCTTAGATATATAATGTTTCTATTAGTTGTTATTTGATTTAATCTGTACTTTGTGTCTTTCTTTTTTGAGGAGTGAATAAATTTCCTATCATGTCCGGTTCATGTTTTTGTTAGATGTTTTTATCGATCTAATGAGTTAAGTCCATTTCAAATGATTGTTATAGTTTGCTCTTATGTTGTACTGTAACATCACTGTCCCAAGTTAGGGGAATGGTTGGCGCCTTCAGACCTGTTGAACCTGGCCACATTCTTTATGTGCCTGTCCCAATTAAGAAGCCTGTATTTGTTGTTGTTGAATTATGTCTGTCATATTTGTTTTTCGTAAATTGTTTTGTTATAAATTAGGCCGTTAGTTTCCTCAGTTGAATTGTTTCATGTCGGGGCCTTTTATAGCCGACTATACGGTATGGTTCTTCTCATTGTCGAAGGCCGTAAGGTTGCCTTTAATTGCTTGCATCCACTTATTTGAACTTTCAATTGGTAGATAGTTGTCTCATTAGCAATCATAACATTTCTCCTAAATTTAATAAACATTGTATACGGGCCTCGGTAAATATTACAACATAAATGACTGACTAAATACAAAATATAATCTTATGTTCAAACTTCATTATTATACAAATATACCCGTTATAAAACATATCCAATACTAATATACGTTAAATTCAGAAAGGCAGTAGAAAAAAATGTATGTTTGGAAAAATTTAATGACAAGGTGTATATATATATTAGTAACGGAAATAGATTATAGGTTAATATGAGGTAATTGACCGCGACAGTATGATCATGTGTTGTGTTGTGTAGAATATTCTATACAATTTAATTTAAGTTTGACGGATTGCTTCCCTACTGTACATTAGTAAATACTTAGTCAGCCGTAAGCAGTACTTCTTTAGCTAAGTCGGTATACGCGCTGACTTGTAACATAGAGGTCCCGGTTTCCAGTCCCGGTGGAGACAATGTAGAATCATGCTCTCGGTTAAATAAATATTAAGAGTTCATGATCATCGTGGTCAAGTGATTTTCAATTGTATTTAACTGCTAGCGACCATTTAATACTGAGCTGTTGTGATCATTATTTATTTCAAATTCTGTATGAGATAGATAGCTAAATAAAAACTTTATACTAAAGATAGAAAAAAACATTTTTTTTTAATTGACAAAAACAAATCCGAGTTCGTTTTCTTAAGTAAACGATGAGATATAAAAATAACTGCAATACTTGGTTTTCTTCAAGTAACTTCTTCTGTACAACCGCCTTTATACTAATCCGGATTGCTGGGATTGTTGTATTGATCCCCGACCTGGCCTAACAAAAAAATTAAAAATTAACTTAATGTTTGCTGCTTCTCCGCTCAGCACGCGGATTTAAGTAGTTAGAATTAAGACTAATCGGCTCGAGTCAGAAAAAAACTGCTCAGAAAGAACGAATTATTTTTTGGGGTCTATTCCATTGTGAACTAGCAATTTATAATTCGACCCAGTGTGTCAGTCTAGTACGAAACAGGGTTCATATCACATCAACTTGTTCTCGTCCTTTTACGTGTAATATTTGCCACTGACCGTTAAACACTAGGCTAATATAGATTGTTCCTGGTCTGAGTACAATGAACAAGGTAAGAAAATTAATTCTACTCTGCAAAGCACACGATATAAAAGATTAAAAGCAACGACTGGAAGGTTTGGGGTTCGAATTTTTGCTTATGGAGAGTAATACGAATTTTTCCAAAATGTTAACTTTTGACCTAATACAGTATAATCCAATATCCGGACATTGGTAAATACAAAGCAGGTTAATTCACATTTCATCAATATGTTATCGGTATGAATCAATTTATCAATTTCATGACTGGTATATCAATTAGACTGTTTTATCTGTTTGGCAACAAGTGTGTCTCAGGTACCCGTATGTTGCAAGGGAGAGAACCAATCTATTATATCAATCACATACAAGTTGTACAAAAAATTCCAAAAAGGCGCCGCCAACAAAACATCTATAAATCAGTCACGGACTGTACAAAATGTTGTACCGCTCATCGTGAGAACGAATGGACAAGAAAAAATCTACCAATCAGTCACGGATTGGTATAAAATTGTTCATTACGACGGCCAATGAAAAATTCTAATTATTTTGATGTTTAATAAGAAAACCGAACTGTCAATTGTATTTTTATACTCGGTGTTACATTGTATTGTATTACAACAACTGCCTCTGCTTTTCTCTAGCTTGTATTCAAAAAGATTTTCGTTGATAAAGTTTTTTTTTAAACATTTAAAACTAAAAATGAATATTCTTTTTTTTTTTTTTTTTTTTTTGTACTGATGCATCAAAATGATAATGTTTGTGTTTATTGGATATATCATAGGTACTTGGGGAAGGGACAATTTTTTTTTTAGACCTCCTTCTTTTTTCCAAAATCTATAATTTATTTGTTTTCAATTGATTTCAATAATTTTCGCGTTTTCTGTATTATATGAACATAAATATAATTAAAATAACTTGTATTTGCTATTTAACTATCAATTTCAAGTTATATTATATATCAGTGACCGCTGTGAATAGTAAACTTGAAATTGATAGTAAATAGCAAATACAAGTTATTTTAATTATATTTATGTTCATATAATACAGAAAAACGCGAAAAATTGAAATTAATAGAAAACACAAAAATAACGGAATTTGGAAAAAAGGGGGAGAGCTAAAAAAAAATTGTCCTGTCCCCAAGTACCTATGGAATATAGAAATTTTTAAATCTCGTTAAACTGAAGTTAGTATGAAAATCTTTACAATGTAATGAGTTTGACCAAGGTTGAGAGATGGAAGACCGTTTTGAAAAAAGGTAATGACTAGGTCCATTCAAAATCACTCCTCTTTTCATTGGCATATGATCTCAAACAGTATCAAACAAAGCTATCCTACGGATTAAAATTCAAATAACACATTAACATTATTGTTGAAGACACGCCTGGTGGTCGTCTATATTTGATATTTAAATTTGTATTGTAATATCACGAGTGAAACATGTACATTTCATAGTACTAAATGCAACTTAAATTCTCTTTAATTCAAAACAGAAAATTGTTAATATATATTTAAATGTAAAATATGAATGTACGGAAATCATATTAATATAAACAATGATTTTAAATTTTAATCGAAATGTGTGTATTTAACCATAAATTCATCGTGTACACGAGTGATATCACGTGGGACAGACCTATATAATATTAGACTTAGCGCGGGTATGGCTGTATTCTAAAGTCACTGTCCAGAGAAGACGGACCTTCTGAAGTGGGACCGATTCAAAGTCAGATGTTCGTTGTCAACACTTTCTTCTTACTGTTGCTTTTGGGGATTCAGATACAGCGGAAGGGTGAGTATATTTTGACAAACTAATTATATTATAATAATTTATTAAGTTAAATGAATTTTTTTTTTTTTTTTTTCATTGTTTGACGTTTTTTTTTTTTTTTTTAATTTTAATTTTTCTATTGTGCTAAGTGTTTTGGATTGTTAGTCGAATTTTATAAACATTTAGTTAACATCACAACTTCTGCAACTTCTAGAAAAAATGTGAATTGCAGGATCATCTGATCGAAATTTTCTATTCTTGCATTATTTTGGGGTATCTTTTGTCCTTATTGTAAGCACGTGGTCAGATGTTAGCTTTAATTGAAGTTTTGTTTTCAATCGTTTTTATTTCATTTATTTGTTTAAATGCAAATGTGATTTTAAAATTGTATAAAATCTGATATAGATTAAGTGAAGTGTCGTATTGTAACAGAAATTGGGATAAACGCATATTATGAAACTCTCGCACTTTAAAAGTTTGGCATTAAAAATAACCGAAGAAAATGAAAAAAAAATATTTGAAGCTAAACGAATTTTTAAATCAAGAATGTATTTCATTGTGTCCTATTCCATAAGCGTGACAGAAAGAAATGAACTGAGCGTGCACTCACTCTTAAAAAAGATTCTAATAACCATACCCTTTGAATGCATAACGTGAGGGTACCCAAATTGCACCTAATATTTAATATCCAGAAAAAAGTTTCCATTCTGTATTTTGTAGATGGATCCTTAATTTATTTATAGTTCCACAGATTTAATTACGAATCCATAATGAATCATAGAAAAAATGGATTTGAACCGACCTTTAAACGACCCAAGATTCTGTAATGGGTAGTTCTGTACCTAAATTGCATCCATGCTTAAATTCACATCCGTAAATATCGAATAACTGATTTTTTTTTTTATTTCTCTACATTTCTAAAACAATTTGATAATAGTCCATGCTTGCTATTCATTTTGTAAGAAATAGAAGCCTCGGACAAAATGTATTTCATTGTTTCTTTTTCCATAAAGGTAATAAAAAGAAATGAACTGAACGAGCATTCACTCTTTCAAAGAAATGAACTGAACGAGCATTCACTCTTAAAAAAAAACCTTCAACGTATAGACAGATAAGGAGATGTTGGTATGATTGCAAATAAAACATCTCTCCACCAGATTTCAAATGAAGTCATTCCGGATGTAAGCAATTAAAGGTCACTGTACGGCATTAAATAACGAAAAAAACTCATACCGTATAGTCGGCTTTAAAAAGGCTCCGACATGAAAAATTTGAAACAATTAAAACCCTCCAATAACCATTTTTTTATTTTAAATGTAGGTATACATGCCCGACCATCGTCGGACATTCGAAGAAGTTGTCCTTCTACAGGCATTCCACAAGGTTCTCAGAGGGGAGTTAATGTCAGACACGACAAAAAGCCAGTATTTAAGATAGATGTTGGTGGAATACACAAATATGGATACCAATCAGGACAACAATATGAAAGTAAGTTGGGTTTTTTTTACTGTTGAACCTTTAATTATGCAATTTTTGCCTACTCAAATAAGGCCGTTTCAGTATTGTTTATTTGTTTGGTATTAAGTCAAATTTTCAATACCTACCGGCCAGCAAAGAAGAATATTACACATAAATCACATCCTTATTAAACTACATGTAATCATGCATGCATTTTGATGCCCATTTTTTACGCCCAAATAAATCTTGTTAATAAATGTAATCAAGTTGAAGCAAACTACAAATCAGAATATCTGTTTTTTTTTCTTATCTAAAAATGATGTTGGATCTCAAAATGACTAAAGTTGTTTTTCCCCCTCACATTCCCATAGAGCTACCAATAATCGGACCGTAACACAGAAAAAAGACATTGTTTCAACGTGAATTAGCTATCAATTTTAGTATGTTACAATGAAGTCATCACTTTGATAATCACATGCACAAATATACATATAACTTATAGTTATTTACCATGCAAGTCGATATATGCCATTTAATCTGCACGGCTCGGGTGATCCTACATGACCCCGAACTCGCAGCCTTTGCCGCATGTGCTAGTACATATAATTTTATCTGTAATGTACTTTTCTCTTGATTGTTGTTTGTTAAACGACCAGTGGCAAATAGTTGATGGATATTTAGGACAGGAACATGTGTAAACAATTTATCAATTAACTTTTTAGAGACATATTTGGCATTTCAACATATATATTCGTATCGAGATATTTTGGTAAAATGTCATTATGTTTACATGTAATGAGGGTCTGGATGTGGTTAACAAAAAATAGAATAAAGGGCCAACATTAAAGAATAGAAAATTATGGGCCACACAGGTAACGGGTTAAAATATTAATAAAACGGATAATAAATGGAAAAAAAAAAGAATAGATTAACTGGCCTAAAAATTAAAGAATACAGAAATAAAGACTCCCACCCGATCCAGACCGTCTTTTATTGTTGTGACATTACAATATATCAATTATTCTGAAAGCTTAGCTTTTGGAGATTTTATTTATCATTAACCATAATTATTCATTTGTTTGTTTAGTCAATGTTTTGGCGCAAGACCCCAATAAACAGTTTGGAGATGTTCTGCTCTGGTTGCAAACAGAATCGTATAGATGCAAAGTTGGAGAACTCGGTGCAACCAAGGGGTTATATCTACAGCCAGAAAACTGTCCACACATGGTTTTCAAGGATACGAAACCGACGGAATATAAATTTACATTCAAGTGGACGGCACCTGCTTGTGGCTGCATACTTATCAGGTATTATACTTTATATAAATTATATAGATGATTATTATTTAAATAATCAATATCAATATTTATCAAATGGAATTACGTCTATTATTCTTAGGATTTAGGAAAAAAATGAAATATGCTAATTCTGATTTACAATACAGGAAATCCCTACATTAAAATTGTATTTTGGTTTTAGTTTTATTTCGTTTTTTACTTTCGTTTTATTAATTGATATAGCTATGATTGTTATTTTCATCAAGAATCGCATTTTTAAACGGACATGTTCTACTTGAAGATTTCAATCCGTTCTAATATGATATTTAAATACTAACGTATATCGGTTGTATATTTTCAGAGCTCGTGTGGAATCTGCTGACAAAAGCGTTTATTTTATGGAAGATGAAGATGTCGTTAATGGTTACCTGACCAAAAGAATCTGCCCCCAAGAAGGTTCGGTGACATTAAAACAGGTAGGCAGTTCATTGATTGGCCATATCGTGGCGGCCATATTTTATTGGTGGAGGAAGTCGGATTGTCCAGCGCCGAGAACCACCCAACTTCGGCAGGAAAACTGACAATTAAGATCGGAGTCAAACATACCTGCCAAGAATGGGATCCGATCTTACAAAAAATTGTTAACTAATTCTATGCCGTTTGGTCTCTGATGGAGAGTATTTCATTTGCAATTAAACCACATCTTTTTATTTTTATATTTACAAACTCAGTGTTGACAAACTAGTGGTTGCTATAGATGAATAACTTAGACCTCGCGGCCTTCAAAGCTCCGCATAACTTAGAAGAAGACTTTTAGTATATATGATTGTGGAGTAGTCAAGCTAAATAATGTTGATTTTATGTCTATTGGCAAATATCACAGACGTAATCATCGAGTCTTCGGTTATGTTCAGTGGGTTTTAATCTTTCAATTATCAGTTCAGTTCTGAAGGGTTAAAAGGTATAATAACAAACATACCGAACTACAAGGAAAATTCAAAGCGGAAAGTTTCGTATCAAATGGCAAAATCAAACGCTCAAATACATCAAACGAATGGAAAACAACCGTCACATTCCTAAAAGGGTTCTTGTATTATAAAGGCATGTATGGTAATGATCCAAAGTAGACTGGTCTCCAGTAGCAATACGCGGTATTGTAAGGTGAAGAAAGAGGGACAGTGTGTTTGACTAAACGTTGATAGCTAAATATGTTATTAAGAACAAAGTTATCAAGATGCTTATTTGAACGTAATACTTTTTGTATATAAAAAGTACATAGGTCTGTGTGTATCAAAAGCATTCAATCGTTGATCTCATATTTTAAATATTTCTAAAATAAATCTAGCAATTTCGATCAAAACCAAAAAGATAAGTAAAAAAACCATTGTTGGCCTCTCATATTTACTTGGACGGACAAATGTAAGAATAAATCTTGTATGGCTGTAGTGTAAAATACATGTAGTTTAACTATTATATATCTTTTCTTAAAGATGTCAAAACGAGAGAAATACAAGCTTCTCTGCGAAGTTACAAAAGGTGCTACAGCTGATGACATTGCCAGACGGACGTATGTCCAAACGAGAAGAAAGGTGGACTTTACCAAGATGCCAATGATTGAACAAGAAGCTTGGATACTGGCCTTCGACCAAAGAATCTTTGAAGTACAGCAGTGTTGTAAAATGGTGAGGTTATATGTAAATTTGATTTGCACAATAATTAGTGTTGTAAAATAGTGAGATTATATTTCAATTCGATTTGCACAATAGTTTACATATATATCTTCTATCAAAATCAAAATGCAAATGCTAAATTGTTTTTATAAGATGGGTCTAGAAAGAACAACAAAGAGTGTGGATTGAGTTTTCAGAATAGAGAAAAATAGGGGGAAACAAAGAATGTAAAAAAATTGAAAAGAAAAGAGAAGAGAATAAAGGGCTACTTTAATATATAGAATAGACAATAATGATTGATAAAAAGACCAAAACAGTCTTAACTTAAAGAATACAGAAATTAAAACCCCTTCATCCAGACGCTCAAAACACCAAGAATAATACAGCATTCCGACAGTTAAACATCGTAAAAATATGCAAATGTATACTAAACCTTTCCAAAATTAAATTATATAGAAATGAAAACAATTACAATGGATATACCATTTTCATACACTGTAATTTTTTTTTATCGTAGATTCCCTCTGAGCAAGAGGACTGTTTATCTGATGTCAGACGCCACAGGATAGACAAATTTTGCGCTTATGGGGAGTCCATTGTACCTTTTACTGATAAAAGAAGAGATTTCATGATCAGGAGGCAGGATGAATGCTGCTGGAGGCTAGGTAGGTATAGATACCAATCAAACATCGATGAAATATTTATTATCGATGAAACTATATCTAACATTGATGAAATCATATTTAATATCGATGAAATTATATCTGACATCGATGAAATCATATCTAACATCGATGAAATCATCTTACATCGATGAAATTATGGCTAACATAGATGAATTAATCGAGTTGAAGCCTACTTCACTTGTGTGTGCTATATTATCCCAGATAATCTTCCGGCTATGCGATTGATAACTTTAAGGAATTGTGAGCGAGTTTTTTTCTGTTTACTTAAAGTCCAGTGGCAAATATTCATGCATATCTAGAGGCCATGGGGCGGATCCAGGATTTTAGGTTAGGGGGGGCGCAAACTTAAAATTTTTTTTGAGGTAAAATTATCGAAATATTTTTTATTAAGCTGAGGCCATGCTTTGCAATTTTTAGGGGGCGCACGCCCGCCACGCCCCCGAGTGAATCCGCCCTTGAGAGCAAGAATATGTTGATGATTTATCAAACACATAAATGGACCGAGATTTATAAATGTACATGTAGTTTTCAATACAAACTCAAAGGACAAGGATAAGAAAGATGACTTTCTGGCCCATTATTAACTAAAATAAATCATGTGTAAGTGAAAAATATATTATCAGGTTTTCGATAGCAAATTTCAAGAGATCGCACAATACATGAAATTCCTAGATCTATCTATAGATTTTACTTTTAGTTAGAAATGTGAGATCACATCGATACTTCCGTTACCAAATATGATATTTCAGATACTTCCGATATGGTAAACCAGTTGATTAAAGGAAAGTGTAAGTGTTGAAAACGGAAATCACTTGTATACGTTGTCAGAAGTGTAAGAAATTGCCGAAGTTTAGTGAAGGTTATTGTTGGAAAATCTGTAATCCAGCCATGAAATAGTACAAATGAACGAAACTATGATTGGATTTATAAGTGTTATAGCCAATTAAAACTCATATGTGCTTAAACCATTTTTTTTTTTTTTTTGCGGTCCAGAAGTTTGTTTTCAACTATCAAAGGATCGAAAATGTCACTCGTTGAAAACGCGTACAGATGAGCGAACTTTAAGTTAATGAATATTCATTATAATTCGAATGAAGCTATACACCAAATTTGACATTTGTAAATGTCATCCCGTAATAGTTTTACCTAAAATATACCAGAACGACATTTTTGCTCATTTTTGGTCGTCATCGTCAATAGTGTGATAAAAGGGCTGATGTTCCTTTTGTTTTGTTTTGCTCCAGCAATGTATTAAGGATTTATATTTATTTATTTATCACTTACATGCTTTGAAATCCATAAACAGTTAACTTGTAACAAATTAAAAATTAAAAATCTTCATTACTAGAGCAAAACAAATCGAAAAAAGCTAACACCGACCTGTTAATAAATATGAGATGTTTTTGTGAGATATCTTCCCTTCAATTATCAGTGAAATTTCAGGCGAAGGGAGGTACCAATGTTTTTCAAGCGGCCCTATGATGGACGGTACAGGTCGCCATGTTGATGCCATGGATAACATGGACGAATCGGACCCTATTAATGATTTGGAGGATTTCCGAACAGAAATTGGTTACAAGGTAGATGGTATACACATTTATTGTAGTAACTATTTGTATCATTGTGAATATAATTGTTGAATAAGCTAAAAATTGTATGTTTTGTTACAAAATGACTTTTTTTTTTAAGAAAAAAAATATCAAACGACATATTTTAATAAAATTTTATTTTATTTCAGCTTGTACAATCAAAAGCTAATATGGACGGTGACCTTCAAGACAACCAAATTGTCTTGACAACGAACGAACCAAAGAATGAGGACAACATTCAGTCAATTGACAAGAAGGATAATAAAGAAATTCACCATGATGAAAGTTTTAAGAAAAATATAACAGATGATTACGACATTGACGATGAAAGTGACGAAAAAGAAAACGTCGACGAAAGCGAAAACTTATCCAAGGAAGAAAAACAAACGAACAACAAGCATAAAGCTGATTTAGATGAAACAACTGTTAAACTTGTTACAAGTCCGTCACGACAAAAGAAAGACTTCACTACTTCGGCATCAACTTTTACAACGGAAACATCCGAAGGTATGTATAACATCAAACATGAGGATATTAATTTTCATGCCTCGCCTACGATAGTTGGGGGTTGTGTTTTCCGGTCTGTGCATCTATCCGTTAGTCTTATCCTAGATCAAAGTTTAATTTTAACGTATGTTTACGTTTTGGTTTTGGTTTGTGGTCGGGTCAACTTGAAATTTAGTACACATATTCAGTATAAAGTGAATGTTAAATGGTTATGCTAAATTGGGGGTCTGATACAGATTTGACAATCCATTGAACACAATTATGATGTGATAGTTTTAAGTTTTGGTTTATGGTAGTTTGTGGACATACAAACTTGAAACTTAGCGTATATTATGTTTATTTAATATTCAGATAACTGTTTAATGTATATGTCAAAACTATGGTTTTGAACACGATTTTATAGTCGGATATCTGATTTGCACCTTTAGACCCCCCTAAACGATTTGCAGATTAACATCGTTTACTATTTGTAAGAATTTAGGGTGTGCGAGTATATATAAATTTAAAAATAAAATAATATTGAATAAATCGTGAACATCTCTAGAAATTTAAAGATAATATATTTTAAAAGAGAGACGAAAGATACATTCAAACTCATAAGTCGAAAACAATCTGACAATGACATGGCAGGAAATAAAACCAAAATGAACAAAAGACAAACAATGTTGTTAGTAAACAAAACACAACATAGTAAAACAAAGACTGAGCAACACGAACCTTACCAAAAACTGGGGATGATCTCAGGTGCTCCGGAAGAGTAAGCAGATCCTGCTCCGCTAGTGGCACCCTTCGAGTTGCTCATGTAATGTGCAAACCCGGAGATAAGTCTGACTCGATAATTCTTAAACTCACTAAGATGCATATACAACACATAATGGTGTTTGCATTACAATTATGAAATATATTTTTTTAGTGTTGAAGAGAAAATTCCAAAGAACTAAGACAAAACTTGAGTGTTGTGATCTGGGAAAGAAGTATGGTATTAGATACGTCAATGGCGATGCTTGGAACAGGTGTGAGAACGAGGCTCACGTTACAGCAAAACCATACAAAGCGGGAAAGAGACGATGTAAAAACTTCTTTATGCGCTGCTGCATTGAACATTCAAAAAGGTAAACACTCATCAACGATACCAGGTTGTTAACTTGGTATGCCAGTACATATTTTTGATTTATCAAATGATGTAACATTCACAGGATATAAAATGCACAAAGAAATTTTTATTCTGACTGCCATCGTTACCACTAATGCTTAAATATTCTTAACAAAAGATGTAATGTTCTTAAAAGAAATACTATATTATTCGTTTTCAAGACAGGTACAAGTTTCCAATAATAGGTTTGTTTAATATCATTCGAATGGACAAAAAGGTCAATAGATTGTTTTTGGTGATGATTATGTTGCCGTAATTTTCAAAAAAAAAATAAGCTTTTTATTCTGTACTTTTCAGAATTTTTAATAAAATTCGTTCTTCTACCAGACCAGTTGTTCCACGCATACTTAAACAGCTGGAAAATATAAGATATTTTCTTAAAGTGATTAGTCCACCGAAAGGAAATTCAAAATATTCTTATGGACATAAAGCTAACAAAGTCGCTAAACTCATTGAAAATCTTGTTAAGAAACTGGAAAACTCAGATACGAAATTAGCAAAAAAATTTCATATACCTACGAAAGGCATAGTTAATAATAAATAGATAAAGGAAAACGAACTACCAACTACGAATATCAAAAATGTGATATCGATTATAGATTTTCCTTCGAAAATAAACAACATGGCGTCGGAGCATCACGAGCATGGCATGTCACGTGACTAAATGGTAATATGATCATTGCTTTTTCCATCAACATAGTTCTGTGCATGCTCTATTCATTTCGCTTATAATATACTTTCTGGAAATCACGCATAACCGACGGATGATGGCGTTTCTCTCGTATCCAAAAATAGTCAAACATCCTAAGGAGGAGGTTGACTGTAGAATTAATAAATATTGAATCATTATTTTCAATTTTAAATAATTACGCCATGTGTTTTCTTCTATACTCTCAGTCTAAACTAACGAGTCCGAAATATCCTGCATTTTTTAAAATCATACGGAATGCTAAATCCTAAGCGGCACAGGGCTTCTGACATAGGGATCGCTGCTTTTATTACATATCCGTTTTGTCAGAGAAATTACAAATTAATTCTATCATTTTGTCTGAATTCTGTAATTACCGATTTTACTATCAGGTATTTTGCAATGACATTGTAAATGAGGGACCTGTTTGTTTTTAAGTTTTGTATGATATTAAGTGTTGTAATGCAGTTAATTAATTTCATTGACCTGTTTATTCCTGTTCATCATTTTTATCACTTGAAACGAGGGATATACATGTACCAACATCGAATCACGTGATTCTTGACAATTCATAATGCTTTCATCAATTTTAATCATGTTATATTGAAATTTACATTAATTGTTATACCTCCGAAACTAACCTCAAAATTAGAATTAGAAATTAGAATATGCTTTCTGATTTTGAAGCTGATTAGAACTATATATGTGTGTATTTTTTTTCGAATTGTTTAATTGACTTATTACATCTATAGTACATGTATGCCAATCAGTTATATTATGGACATTTAAATCGCTGTAATTTCTTCTTTGTCGAATTTTATCAAAGACAAATTTACTAAGAATTTCTTATACAAGTATTTGTTTTGTTTTGATATATTTTTTTTTAATTTAATATTTAATATCCTAATCATTTACATCAAATTGATTATGAAATAATACGATTTAAATGCTACAATATTATTTTTACCATGGTGTCCTCTTAACCTTTAGGTAATATTTACTCTCGTTGCTAATAACAAATCAAGAGAATATTATCATACCAAAACAGATATTTTATTTTAAACGAAACATATGTATTACACAATTTTTTTTCTTCATTTAAAACAGGACACTTGTAGACGTTGACGATGACTCAGATGACAGTGAAGATGATAAGGAAATCGATGAACTAGATGAAAGCAAACAAACTTTGTACGAAAATGAAAACAATGAAAAGGCAATAACAAATGACAATGATGAGAAATTAACGGACGATGAAAGTGTCGAGGGCAATAATGATATCAATGATAAATCACGAAGACGACGAAAAAACAAAAACAATCGTAAAAGAAGGAGACGAAATAAAAATAAGAAATCAAGGAGTGAAAAATCAAGAAAACGAATCTGACATTTCAACTTTCTTTATAGTGGCATTATATTGGATACTCTAATTTATTTTCTTCAATGAACCATGGTGTACATTTAATTCATTATTTATTTAGCAAATGCAAAATATTTGTATTTGCTCACCTGGGTTCAGCGATAAGCTAGGGCTATTCTATAAAACTTTGTACTAAATTTCCTAATTTGAAATTTGAAACGTATGTATTCAAAAGAAGTTTTCAATGAGATTGACATAAGACATGAGATTAAAAGAGATAGTGAGCGTGAAAATGAGAAAGAAAGAAAGAGACCAGACAAGAGGGAGAGAGTGAATGAGCGAGTTAGAATTGGAGAATACATGAATCAGTGGGAAAGAACGCGTGCGTGAGTAAGTAATAGGGAGAGAGCAACAGTGTTAAAAACTTTTACTTTATTGTTTTGTTTTGTATTGTTTATATTTTGCATGAAATGCACTTTATCATTAAAAATTTTCACAGTATTTTTATTCTTCTATCTTACATTTTTAGCTCACATGGCCCAAAGCACCTGGCCCTTTAGGTGAGCTTTTCTCATCACTTGGCGTCCATCGTCCGTCGTCGTCGTCCGTTAACTTTTACAAAAATCTTCTCCTCTGAAACTACTGGGCCAAATTTAACCATACTTGGCCACAGTCATCACTTGGGTATCTTGTTTTGAAAAATGCGTCCGATGACCCACCCTGCCAACCAAGATGGCCGACATGGCTAAAATAGTACATAGGGGTAAAATGCAGTTTTTTGCTTATATCTCTGAAACTAAAGCATTTAGAGCAAATTTTACATGGGTAAAAATGTTCATCAGGTTAAGATCTATCTGTCCCGAAATTTTCAGACGAATCAGACAAGCTGTTGTTGGGTTGCTGCCCCTGAATTAGTAATTTAAAGGAAATTTTGCAGTTTTTTGTTATTATCTTGAATATTATTATAGATAGAGATAAACTGTAAACAGCAATAATGTTCAGCAAAGTAAGATCAACAAATAATATGGTCAATTGACCTCATAAGGAGTTATTGCCCTTTAAAGTCAAATTTAACAATTATTCGTAAATTTTTGTGATCTTTTACAAAAATCTTCTCTCCTGAAACAACTGAGACAAATTTAACCAAACTTGGCTATAATCATCACTAGGGTATCTAGTTTTAAAAATGTGTCCGATGACCCTGCCTGCCAACCAACATGTCAGACATGGCTAAAAATAGAACTTGGGGGGGGGGGGGGGAATGCAGTTTTTGACTTATATCTCTGAAACTAAAGCAAATGTATAACGGTTGCATTATTTCATGCATCAATTGTAAATAAAAAATATCAGGTGAGCGACACAGGCTCCTTGGAGCCTCTAGTTATGATGTTATTTCATGCAGGGAATCATTGTGTTAACTCTTGAATCCTATTCATTATAATGATTTCGGGATATTACTTATTAACGCTCCTATATCCGTAGTAAAGGAATGCTAGAGTGTATTTCTGGAATATTTTTACTAATCTATAAAATTTTACAAAAAGCTCGAATTTTTTTCGGACTCCCTCACGGTTGATCGTTATGGAATATGTGTCACCGCTGACCAAGGATATGTTCCAAGTGTCGCAACCACAATTTTCCTCGATTGTGACTTCACAGAATAATTTGTACTTGCATGAGCAACATGACATATGCCACATGAAAAGCAGGAACTGCTTACCCTTCTGGAGCACCTGAGTTCACCCCTATTTTTTTGGAAGGGTTCGTGTTGCTGAATCTGTAGTTTTCTATGAAGTGTGTTGTGGAATTGTTCGTACTTCTCGTCTTTTTTCGCATTCTCCCACGGCATTGTCAGTTTTTCTTTGACTTGTGGGTTTTAAATGTGTCCTTGATATCTCCCACATCTTTTTTTAGTGACAGGGTATGAATGTTCGCTCGAGTGGCTTTGCTTATACCAAATTATACGTTATACATTTGAAATACAAAAGAGATAAAACTGAAACGAACGTAAAAAAAAGTTATTTTCTTTTTCTAGCTCTGGGTCGATACCGCTGATTCCCCGAGGGTTGCATCAGCCAAGTAGTCAGTGCTTCGAACCGACATTATTCTAACTTACCTTTCTTAAACTACTCCATAAATACATTTAGAAATTAATAAGAAACTAAGATTCCAACCTCCTCAGCCAAAGTTAACCTAAGGTGGAACTGGCTATTCTTGTTAGGTCCCTTTTGGTTAGATATTTTCGCAACTGTTCTACTATTTAAAAGACTTTGGCTTTCAATTTAAGGGTTTGAGCTTTCCGAATGAAGGTTAATCCAGAAAAGCGCCTCGGACGCACCAAATATATATAAATTGTTATTTTCATTTACCAGTTTTAAAACACTTACGTTTTTTCAGCATGTGATTAATGGTAGAACTTCCCGTCTTGGTAGCTTTCAACCTATGTTTTGTGCTGAATTAGTTTCCATAGTTAGAAAAAGAAAAGATTAACGTCTGCTTTACGTCTGGGGGGAAAAGAATGGGACGATGTGCACGAGACAAGCATCTCATTTATTGATGTTAAATAATCAACTTTCATCAAACTGAATGCGCCTTATTGACTTTTAACAGTTTCTAGATGTCATCAACATAACATGTATTGCTTACACACATTACAGCAATGACATGACGGTTCCTATGATCTATGCACACGGTACCTTTCAATAGTCATTAATAACCGCAGTAAATATTATTAGTAGAATTCGGTGAAAGCTTTGACCGAAACGTTTCTATAGACGAGTACTGTGTTTTATGCGTAATGATACACGACTGGTTGAATTAGTGTTTCTTTATATATTAAACATCCAATTGAAACATTTCACGCTTATAAGGGGGGGGGGGGGGGAATAAATTAACAATTTAATACAAAAGACATTTCGACCGAGATGAAGGACGGGAAATTTGACTGTCACTGGTATATGAGTATGTTGGGATAGAGTCAATATGCATTCTACGGCCCTGAGGGAGTTGTTGCAAATGTTCTTCAACTTGCAGAGAGCTTTGTACTTGCTCCATGTAAGGCATTGATTTTAACTATTCAAATTCCGAGCGAGCGTGGCAAGGTATTTATACATCCTGCACAGTCAAACCGACGCCCAACTTTAGCATGGGTTTTCTTGTCGGAAAGGAAAGAAAAAGTCTTGGGATAACCACAAGAATCTTCATCCTAGTCAACTATATGTATGTGCGAAGGCACAATACAATGCGGGAGCGGGAGCGTCACATAATGATCTATAATGCATGTATTTCAGATGCCTTAATTTATTTGTCAAAATTTGGTTATTTTCAAATATTGATGGTATTCGTCCATTTGTAAATCGTGATAAACACTTTTCTCGTCACCTTATTTTAGATATGGATTTGCGGTATACTTAAATACAAAGAAGTAAAATAATATCTCAAATGAATTTGAAGGCCGTACGGTAACCTATAGTTGTTAACTTCTATGTCATTTGGTCTCTGGTGGAGAGTTGTTTCATTGGCAAGCATTGCACATCTTTTTTAATATATTCCCTATGGAGAGACAACTTCAATTGCAGGATGTGTAAGGCGTGGTGGCATTTCCAAATGTTTGGCTTTGAGCGTTCCTGGTAAAGGAAGATCCAGAAAAGCACTTCTGACGCATTGAATTATAAAGCATTATTTTCATTTTCTATCACTGGGTCGATACCGCTGCTGATTAACTATTAGTCACCAAGGGCACATAAGCTTAGAATTAGAATACACCCACCTGTGATCTTTTGTTTAAACTCTCCATTATTTTTCAGGAATGGAGAGTTATTTTCTATTGTTCATCGTCATTCATCCAGACGTTTTGCCCTCTGGAAATTCCATGGGCACTTTCTTGAAAAGTGTTCACCCATGGAAATTATTCTAAAGAACTTATCTTACGGGCCTCCGCTCCATTATTTATCAGGAATGTACGTTTATTTGGACCTTCTCTATGACGTCAGAGTTCCTGTACTGACTTGATTTATAACATACCTTTCTCAAATTCGTCGTTAAATTTCGAAATAATTAGAAAACTAAGATTCCTAATCTGTCAGACAAAATTGACCTTAAACAGATTAGGCTATTATTTGGATCAGTTTTTATCATATAGTTCTCTGCGTGTTTCGATATTTATACATCCATGGTTTTCCAATGTTTTGCTTTGAGAATTCCTATAATAAAGATATAAATCCAGAAACGCGCTTAGGATGCCAGAAATTATAAAGTGAGCTGCGTCGGATAAAAGTCGAACCTATGCAAATGAATTTCAATACATATGTTAACCTATTTTGGGTTGCAAAAATATCTACAGAGGGTCTGTAACTGTTTGAAAATTGAGTTATCATAAGAACCCTGCCAAAACAGACAAAAAATCATCTTTTATTTCGTATTTGAATGTTCCAAAATCAATCAAACTCTTATACAAGTACATGTATACGTGCACTTGCATAAGGTCGATTTCTATCCGACGCAGCTCAAGTGTTATTTTCATTTTAAAATTAAGAAAACAAACTCAATTAAGAAGGTTATCCAATAGTATAAACGATTGAAGTTATAATTTGATATGTTCTATGGTCGCCATCTCAATCTAGTTGATTGTTAAAAGTTTATATGAGTCTAAATTAATTTACTGACGACATTTTTAATCAGTCACAGGTTCATTTGACATTATTAACGGTTTCGTTATGTTCCTGGCTTCGAAATTTCGTGCTGGATGTGCTCGTGACTTCGGAATCTGTGTCCCGGTGCATGCATACATATCAGGAAATGGGGGAAAGCTTACTATGTCGAAGTAACTGGTCTCTCCCGCTTAGACTTGCAGTTTTTTTTTAATTCTCATGATTTTTTTGTATGTACTTTGATTTGCTAATTTGAAAATAAAGAGATTTGGTATTATAGCCAATAAGACAGTTATCCATAGACCTGGTCCAAATGACAAAGACATGAAAAATTACAGGCGGGTCACCATACGGACTTCAACATTGAGCAAAACCCACACTATATAATTAGTTCTGCAAGACCCTTGGATGCAGAACAATAATATCATTCAAACGGATGAATTACCTAGAAACTGGAATTAAGAATGACAAAATATGAAACAATTGAAAAGAGAAAACAAAGTCCTGATCTATGATACAAAAAAAACATTGAGAACTGTAATCCAATTAATGTTTGTTAAAACTAAAAAAAAAACCTTTATTTGTTATCTGGTATATGTTTTGGGTCGCTTGAAGTGCAACAGTTGAATCATATAATTATTCATTTAAGAAAAACATAAACATATTAGCATACTTATTGACCATGCAAAAGGTTAACAAAAACACACTGTTTGAAAACGCATACCCGACTTTTATCTGTAAATGTAAATAAGCGTATAATCTAATCAGGGATCCACTATTTTTAGGGACATAACTGTTCATTTAAAGTCTAGTTTTGATCTTTGAAATGTTTACATGTTCATTTAAGCCATACCTTTTATTAAAAGATAATGATTTGTTTTATGTCTTGTTATTTATCATGAAGTAGTTTTGAATAGTTATCAAATCGACAAAGTATTGAAAAACCAAGAAACTTAAAATATAAATGTTTGGTAAACATGAATATATCTTAAAGATGATTCCATATAAACAGCAAATGATACTGTTATTTTTAAACGAATGGAAACCAGTTAGATGAATGGTTTTATTGTACAAGATATTCATACTTTTTGAACTATTTTAACGAATGCCACATGTGGAGCAGGACCAGTTTACCCTTCAGGCGCACCTGAGATCACCACCGGTTTTTGTGGTACTAGTGTTGCCAAGCCCTAATAGTTTTGAAATGTCTATGTTGTGTTTTATAGACTGGTGTTTGCGTTTCGTTATTTGGCATAGCGTTGTCAGTTTGTTTTCGACTAATGAGTTTGAATTTTCCGTTCGTATCTTCCGTATCTCTCTTAAATGAAGTATGCCATTTTAATATTGAGCTGTTTGAACGTAAAGACCTATCATTCTTCTATTTGATATAATTGATACGAAAAAGAATCAATAAAATTGTTTTCGCTAAAATGGGCAATAATAATTTTAGTTTTCGTTTAAATGTGCTAAAAACTGATGCTTATATGGTTTAAAACGTTCGATCTTTTCCGCTCAATTATCCTCTACCGTTTGGAACAAGGATGTGTGGATTTCATTTATCGCAAATTTAGTAATTATAACTCGCTATAATAATCTTCGGTAGACCCATTGGTGGCCTTGGACTGTTTTCTGCTCTTTGGTCGGGTTGTTGTCTTTTTGACACATTCCCCTTTTCAATTCACAATTCTAAATAAAATGCAACAAGACTGTTTTAATATAAAATATTTTTAATATATAGCAAACTAAAAATGTTGAATAATGAATGTAGTAGTATGCATACATTTATTAGTTATTATCATAAAGAAAACTCCATTTGAAAGTTAAAATATTAGTTGTTATGAAAGAAACAGAACAGAAAAAATATGTAAAACAGTATATATGCTATATGTAAATATGTTCTATGTTTCATCTCATTAGATCGGTTTGCAACGTCGAAAAAAACTTACCTACATGTATCATACTATTAGCTGCTAAGTTCTAAAAGATAGTCACTTAATTTATACTCCACTAATCGCTCAGAATTTTTGATACTCAAAATAAAACGAGGTCCACTTGATTAATTCATCCGTTTGAATTATATTATGGTTAATAATTATTACAATACAATTATCAATTATATACATTATAGCTTCTACAAATATAAAAACAAGATCCTGTACATACATGCTATTCATCTATATTATGGGTCATTCTTCCCTTCTTGCTATATATACACAACTTATTTACAACTGTGAAAATAAGAACAAATATCGTGAGTTCTCTGACTTTCTGCGTTTTATTAACCAGAATATGAAATAGTTCTTCTTTTGCATCATCTTTCTCTGACCATACAACATGATCTAATACGAGAACACGCCGATTCGAATTCAATACGAGTCAAAAACCCTCACCTCTGTATAAACAACTGGCAGGAAAGCGTCATAAGCTTTCCTCATACGATACATTATATTCAGGAAAGAGATGTAATAAGTAAATTGTGCAACATCATTATTGAGGGGCCTGATTTACTTCCGTGGTCGCTGGAATTCATCAGTCATTGTACCTAAATGTGAATCTTTAGACACAATGAAATAAGTCTCTTCTTCTCTGTTGTTTAGCTGCTACCCAATTGACAAATATCACATCTCTTATCTATTTGAAATAAAGTTCTCTTTAAAAAAAGGTTTAAATGACTGTTCTTGGTGTTCTGATGATATAAAGTTGTACATTGAGGAGACTGTCGCAAGAATGTGCGATTCAATTATATGCCCGTAAACTAGCGTAATCTGTTTTTCTTGTATGTTTTTCCGTATGTCGACTTGATAATGTCTGAAGCTTTCTCTGCCATCATTACGATTGGTGCATATAAATCTCCAGAAACATGAGAAGGCATAACCGATGAATCTACCACTCTCAACTTATCTATACCTTTGACCCTGAAATTGAAAAAACGATTCAAGGTTCAAATCAAGTTCAATTAAAATTAAATGAAAAAAACAAATGGTAGAAAAAAAATCTTCTAAAGATACGTGAATTAAAATTGTGTACGCCAGACGCGTTTATCCTACAAAAGAAAATTGGGACAAAACATTAATGTAAAATTAATGCACCTTCGATTGTTGACCCTACTTTGTGCTTTGGTTCGCCGGCTCACACAAAAAATTTCTCCGAACGGACAAATTAAAGTCGTCAAAATCAAATGATAACTTTGACTATATTTTATAATCACTGAACTTGTGTCTACATCTGGAACTAAACAGCTTCATATACAAATGTCAACGAAACACAGAACGACGCATATAACAGAAATATGATTGATTTTTTTTTCTCGCCCTGATGAATATATGACATTTGCTACAAACTGCTTTTGGAAATAAGTTATATTTGGGATAAATACATTCCAATTTATTATAACGGGAATAACATTTGTGATGTTAATGCTATGAATAAGTAAATGCCTCTAAATATCTTTATTTTAAATGTTAAATTTGTAGATGAAATTGTTATAGATTTAAAGTCATTCTAGAGTCTTGCATCATGTGCATGGGGCAAAATAATATAATGAAAATAATTAAAAAATAATTTATTTCTCGCAAACAACGCTAAATAATATACATTAACTCGACTCTGAATCTAAAAACCCCTAAAATATAATGGTATATGGAATCGTCCGAAACAGGTTTCCTAATATTGATAATGTTGAAATAGGTAGATTCAGAATTGTGCACAAAGAAATAAGATTAGAAATAAAGCCCTTTGTAAAGCGAAAACCAAAAAAACACCTGAATTGAATCATCGTTTATTAAATTTGCTTGTTGAAACTACTAACGATTACGTGTATCCTGTCAACCCCTAAAAAAATAATACTGTCTTCTTGACTTCTTCCGCGCGCCACTGACTGAATTTTTAATATATTGCTATAGAGTATGTTAATAATGCTAAACACATTATATCAAACTTTATGGAGCAACAAATATCTCAGATATCTCTAGATGGTTTGGACGTTGAAGAATGGTTGGATGAATGTTTCGAATCCAGTGGCAAATATTACTCCTTAATGCCGATTACATCGCGAAGTGGTAGAATATACCAGTCCAAGTTTTTGAGTTGACTCGACCGCACTCGAAGGATTTATTGGTTGTTGTTTCCCTAACTGTTTCCAGAGACAAATATTTCCTGCATATTCAGGACGATATAAACAAATTACTAGTAACAATGCAACACATCCCGTAGGTAGAATCTGCAAAGTGGGTTGATAGATATCAAGGGCAGACATTTCGTTGCCACTGTAATATAATTTTGAGACATTCCAACTATGGATCTTCAAAGAGTTGTTGTAAATTATTTGTGGAGAGCATGGCAATCTCCCTAAATAAGGCATCGGATTTAACGTCCTAATTATGACCGGACGTGGCTGTGTACTAATACATCCAACACAACCAAACGGACATGGGTTTTACTGTTGGATAGAAATGGTCGGGCATGACCTTATTTCAAGACCGGGCAACCCTTGAGGTCACCTAAACTCGAATTTTACTGACAGATCTCTCACTGCCTCGATGTTAGTGTGCTCAATATAGTAATAAGGTCATCCTTTCAGAAGACCTTATTACTATATTGAGCACACTCGGATGACCTTATTACTATATTGAGCACACTAACATCAAGGCAGTGAGAGATCTGTCGGTAAAATTTATTTTTAGGTACTAGATCTTCTTCAAGTATAGACGTTACAATCCAATACATTCATACTGCCTGCATGTTGGATTGGATTGATTAATATTCTTTATGTAGAGCAGGATCTGCTTACCCTTCCGGAGCACCTGAGATCACCCTCGGTTTTTGGTGGGGTTCGTGTTGATCAGTCTAAACTTTCCTATGTTTGTGTTTAGTATACCGTTGTTCGTGTTTTGGTCTTTTTCTTTTATTGCCATGGCGTTGTCAGTTTATTTTCGACTTATGAGTTGGAATGTCCTTAAGTATCTTTCGACTCTCTCTTAAAGAAAATCTAAATGCATAGTCATACAAGGATAAGGATAGGAATTACTCAGTCTTACAGTTAGCTTGTATGTAATGGTAGTATTCGAAATGAGGTCGGGCCCTATAAGATTTATCTATTACCTGAGCTGATGGTCAACTACAGAGGTGTTATCATTACTGCCTCCCATTCTATTTGTGCCTACAATGTTGCTTGCTGGTATTGCGGTGTATCTGATAACACACTCAAAATAGGCATCACTGTTTGGTTTGTTGCCACTACATTTTTTATATAAATGCGGTGGAAATCTTGGTATAATCTTTTTAAAAGATTTTGTTTTCGTCAACTTTATGCCAGTTCTTATACCTGCAAATATATAACAACAAAGATTAATAGTTTATTCAATAATTACCAGATGTCTGGCTATCATAAAATAATAAAAAAATAAATAATTGTGGCTAAATCTGGTTACGTTTTATTTTCCATCTTGAATATGTTTTGCTTTAAATAATTCACTCAGGCTGATTATTAATTTCATTTAAGTCTTTACAACATGTATAAAGCTTCCTTTTGTATGCATTTTACTTTAGACGTAAATAAAGGATAAATACTGCAAAAAAAGAAAGCGTCCGAAAAGTGAATTAAATTATATTTTACTTTATCATTGGATTGGTTGGATTCTTTAACTTGCGGAGGGCGAGACACGAGGTAACGGATTTAATGTCCACGTTCCGATCGAACGTGACAGCGTATTAATACATCCCACTTAGCAAAATAGATGCCTCACTTTCGAAGGATTTTACTCCTGGACGGGATGTCTCACGTAAGCAAGGATTTTACTCCAACACGGGATGCCTCACTTTAGAAAGAAGTTTGCTCCTGAACGGGATTACCATATTTCTATAGCTCAGTGATCATTTGGGCTTTGTAAATATCAGTCTACTTTTAAAACATTTATACCGACCGATTAAACATGTTTCAAGTGTGAGCTATCTCCCGCTGACCAGAAAAAGGGTTTGAAAAAAATATCATCAAAGATACCTTGCTCTTTTAACTCATACCATAACATAAATTGCGGAAGATTTTTTCCAGCTTGTGAGAAAGTCGGCCAAGTTTGATCGTCAATTATAAACTCCTTTCAGGTGACCTTATTACTGTATTGAACTAGAACAACATACCAGTTATTAATGCTTTGATGTCCTGTTCATCTGTAAGATATTGTGGATCTATAATTGGTTGATCAAATGGATTGGTACTTGTAATTGACATATTGCCCCTACTAGCTGGCGATAGTAACTGTATATACAATGTAAATCCTTCTGTTACTTTACCATTACCTTGTCCATTTTGCATCTAAAAAACGAAAGGTCTAAGAACTAAAATCTTTTAATAGTTTTCAATAATTAAACAATAAAACACAAAATAATTATAATCTTAAAGAGCAAAGACGAAAACAAGTCAGCATTCTAGGAAAAGCGTAATCTGATAGCTCTAATGGCCTGCCCAGATTTGGCTTTCCTAAAGGCATTTTTATTTGTTTTATCAGCTCTCCAATGTTTGTATTAGGTTTGTTTTTTGAAAAAACAAATTATCACAATGCGCATCTGATGCAGTAAAATATTAACACTGTTAAATCAAGCTGCAAACCAAGAATACACTCCGGGGCTCTGAAAATATTTGCTAGAGTAGTCACAGCTGTTAAAGTCCTCGGATGAGAAGTTTTAGATGATAATTGTTGAACAATTAGGATAAGAGAACAGGACCATTTGGCATAGACGACATCTCTATCGAAACTCCAGAACTTCACTTTTCCGATATTTGTTTGGAATAAATATTCTATGTAAAATTTAAGATCCTTGAGTCGGTTTCACAAAAAAAAAAAAAAATAAGTCATGATCAATTCAGTATATTTACGATCAAGCTTAGTCGTAAGTTTTTTTGTGAAACCGACTCCTTATCCCCAAACACGAAAAGCAACAATAAAGCTGTTTTTTTATTGACCAGTAAATGTTGTTTTAAAACTCCTTGATTGGTGTTTGCACTGGTTTTCTATTCAACGTATTGGAGCAGGTATAAATATAAGTATCTCTGTTACTCCTTTTTTTTTTTTTTTTTTTTTTTTAAATATAGGGGGGGGGGGGGGGGGGTATTGTGGGGTTCGTGTTGCTCAATTTTTGTTTTCTATTTAGTGTTTTGTTGGCTGCTATTTTGTATTTTTATTGTCCCCATTTTTATCTACTCTTCTTTATACTTGATTGTGAATATATAATACAAACCATTCGTTCAGTTGTTGCTGAACTTTCCCAATGTTGTGATAAAATGGCGGCCATACTAATCATGACGTCCGCTTGTTTGTTGGCTGAAGATGAATTCGTGGTGTCCAGTAGCAGATGACCAAGGATACCACCGTTTGATGACAACATACCTATACAAATCAAATATTTATTTTTGAGAAATCGAACAATGGTCACAGTTTTGTATAATAAAGCCGTAGTAATGATTGCTTTGAAATTCAAAGTGTTGGAAAAAGTTGTGTTTCGGAAGGAAAATAAAACCCTTCACAAACTACACTCTAGACGTAAACGCTTAAATTAACATAAATACAAAAAAAAACGTCAACTTGCTTTGGCGGGTGAATCTTCTTTTTGGTAGTAATTGAACATTTACTTGCAATTTTTGATGTTTTTAGCTACTTTTATCAGGTATCTAGCTACTTTAATTTATTATATATTCTGCACTTATTGCTTTTATGCTGTGTCCAGTTACAACTATCATAATTCGCATTTATACTACAGTGGTACATTCTTATCTTACCTTTAGCTGTAAGTCTATACTTCAATCTATTAATAATACTTGTAGATCTGGCAGGTGTTATTGTATATGTTTCGTTCATATGGAATGTTAATGGAAATATAATCTGATCTTGTAATTTTTCGCCAACAGGTAATATAGCTTTTGGAGGTATCTGTATTAAAATAATCAGTTTAATAGTATAAGAGTGTCAAACATATTTTGTCTTTTGTATATTGGGAAATTTGTAAATTAGTAATGTCAGTTTTGAAGTTTTCTATTAAGTTAAAGTGATTCCGCATTTTGTTTTATTATTTCATTATATTTTATATAGAAGTGTGTTTTTATAATTACCTCCCTTTTTTTATTCTGTCATTTCCTAAAACGTAGCATTTAGATTTAATCAAATTTCATCGAATTGCAGTTTTACATATGTAATTTAATGTTCTTACAATATCAGTATCAGTTGCCTATATATTTGTTTATTTTGACATTTTGTTGATTTCACGCCTCTTTCCTGGTTTTACCTGCATTGTGTACATGTGTTCTTACTGCAAATATTCTTTTTTATTGACGTAAATATTATTTTTATCTCATTGATTGTATATATCTTATAAATAATTTTTCATTTCCTTTTATAGAGATCCTTGAATAATTATATTTGCCATTTAATATGTATTTTAGCATGTATGGTTAGCAATGCGTCGGATTTCCGAATTTCCAGAAATATTTCATTATCTAAAACATCCCGTGATTTTTTGTTGTTCGAGCTTCGCTCTTTGTTTTGAATTTGATACCTACTTTTAAATCAAGTAGTTGTATTTCAGGTCCTATTCCAGACATGATCAGTATCTGTGGCGATGATATTGGACCTGCTGACAAAATTACCTCCCTTGTCGCACCAACCGTTGCTTTTCTACCATTGCGTAAATATTCCACTCCCACAGCTTTACCATTCGAAATAAGTATCTGTTTGTAAGGATGACATTGAGGATGAGATACATTTTATTTTAAAATGTCCCATTTATCAAGGTCTTTAATCTTATTTTATTAAACCTTATTATTGGAGAAAACCTTCTATGTATAATTATATACAATTAATCAGTTCGAATAATCTTAGAAAGCTATGTAATTTGGGTACATTCAAATTTCGTGAACAAAAATTAAGATCTGACATGTCGTAATATATTTCACACTACCTTCTGCTATTCTATGTATACTCTGTGTATATTGTATGCCTATAGTTGTTATGACTTTGGTAAATAAAGATCATCAAAGAATTGAAGAGTAAAATTTCATGAACATGATGAAACTAAATCTTTTATTTATAGAAAATAATTTATCTTAAATCAATAATTAAAACAAGCTGGGTATACAGTGGTTTTGTGATTCGACATTGTGTAACAGTAAATTTTTCCATTTTTTAATTTTTTAAATGCTTATTTAACAGCCAATACAATCAATCTTGTTTTATGTCATCATTGAAATGTAAAATGGACTGAATCAAATATTAAGACAAGAATAGTGTGCCTTTCAAAATAAGTCACGATGCCTCAATAATCATATCATTGAAAATCACATTCAAGTTACTTTACATTTTTTTCATGTGAAAATGATATAGTATCATTAATTGCATATATACTCCTATGGCATGTAGTACTAGAGTTTAAATAACACCCTATATAGGGATAACGGGGAATACAAATATGGTTACCCAAACTTCTCAAGTCCGACAGTGAGGGATGTATAAATACACAAACCCATTCGCAGTTGAAATCGGAACGTTAAAGCCAATGCCATGCACGTCTGTTAAGAACCTGTATTAGCAACTCTTTTTTTTTGGTTCGTAGCCTAGGTGGACTGTTGCGAAGCAGAGTCTCTTCCTCTACCCAAACTACTATTGCTTTTCCCAGTGGAAGTCGAAGTTTCCAAAAACCTGCATCACTGGCGAACAATTTTGCAGAACTGGACGTTAAGTAAATATCAATCAATTTATTTATACTAGAGAGAAATGTACATGTTTAACAGAGTAAAGGCAGAGTGTTTGTAGATGTGTAGCATCATACTCCAGCGCTTTCTAAAGTAGAAAATTAATGCAGTTTCAAATCATGTAACTTTAAGAAAAGATGAAACAAGCTACTTGAATCGGTCGGAAGGCTATTTTGGTTGAAAAAAACACAAACAAAATATATCACAAAGCAGTGACGAAGAAAATTATCAAACAATTGAGACAACTTAGTGTGATAAAACAGATGTTATCATTTAATTGGTTTAGTATTTGTTGAATAAAGCTGGTCTTTGTTTTTTCCCCCAACATATAAACAATAACAGGTGTTAATGAAATATTTACCTTGATTACGTGAGAGTAGAGTGCTATGTGTAAGTTTTTACGCTTCATACTTGGCCGTATGTATGCTGATGCTGTGTGAAGCCTTTCTCCTCTATTAATCGTTACTTGGTTTTTGCAAAAACCTGTAAAAATTTAAAAATCAATATCGCTATGTGATATTTATCGTAAAATTAGTTGTTTCAATTATTCTTTTAAACTGATAGATTTAAATTCTTCGTATAGTTGAACTATTTATTTTTACTTTTCTGAAAAAAAACATTGGTAATATCATACAATTAAAGCTTTTGTTGTATGAGGTCGATACGAGGATATATCGACCTAAAGAAGTATATCGATCTGAGACGATACGAGAATATATCGACCTGACAGAACTATATCGACTGAAGACGAAGTATGAGGTCGATATATCTTCGTAACTACCACAAAGTCATGGCTACAATTGTGATATTATTATTTTCAATACGCCTGAAATTGAACAGAAACTCATTTGATTTGTTGTTATGATTATGTCACAAAGTATTGAGGTTTTTAGATTTCAATTTATAGTTATTCTAAAAATAGCTATGCAATATCACTAATTGTATTTTTTTTGTCTACCTTTGAAACAGTTTAACATGTGACTCATTCTGAACGAATCAAATTAGTTAGAATATACAAAATAATAATATTAAGATGTAACCTGGAACTTAATTCAATTCAGTGCTTCGTTATCCGCTTGTGACCCAAAAGTTAAAAGTTTGTCACTACAATCGGCCCGGGTATATGGTCGGCATGTCGTTTTCCTTTTAGTTTTTTTTTTTTTTTTTAATTAACTGTAAATGCGTGTACTTTGTCGCTGTTACATAATTGGAACTTGAAGCAATGTTTTTTTTTATTTTTTTTTACTTTTAAAAATACGTTGCGTATTTTTGTAACGTCACGTATTTATTCTGTATTGTTGTCATGCTATCGTCTTATCATCTTCGCTTGTCAAGGGTTACGATCCGACCAGAAAGAAGGGGGCCGGATCTTAACCCTTCGATGGCAAAGATGTTGTCTTTTTGTAATGGCCTATGATCGGCCATTTTTGTTCTATTGGCGTCTACTCTTAGTCTATTATGTTGTGGAAAATCACAGCCATTACAAGTACAGATATGTTTATATATGATAAAAAAACATGCACATTTCAATTTACCAACTGGGTCTTTTCCATTGCAGTCTGTATATTTATACCCTAACTGAGCTGCTCCAATTTGCATTATAGACGTAAGCTGTGGATGAGATCCATCAGTTACTGTCAGAGGACCACCAGTGGAATGATAGGCTACAAAATAAAACATTTTCATTTGTTTTAAAATGACTAATGTGCGGGGTAATGCATCTATTGGTCCAAGTCTATGTTGTGTATTTAAAGAATATTAATCGAAAGAATATTCGAACACAAAACCAAAATTCTGTCAAAGATAATAAAACTATGTATTGCATTCTAATACAAAATATCAAGTTTTCTTCTGACAAGCTCAGCTTCCCTATAGGTTTGTTGAAAATCATCTTGAGGAACCTTGGCTGTCAAAAAGATTATTACGAAAACATCTGCATGGCGTTTGAAATATTTTTTAAAAATCTTCCATAGCTATGTTAAGGGCTGAATAATAATTTAATTTCGAAAAATTGTACAAAAGTTGAAAAATCATGGAGTCTCTCCAATCATAAAATTCTATTTTTTTTTTTGAGTAAAACAAGTCAGGGCACAATGGCAATACCTCTTTACTAATTTTCCACGACAACTGAAGTAATTTCAATAAAAGCTTTTTATAATATCACTTATATTTTTTTAAATGATTTTTGTGATGATTCAAGGCAATTTTTTCGATATCTAAACTTCCATTAACCCAAACTGAAATAAAATGAAACTATTTCTTTCAATTGATGAATAACCCGGAAACTATTTTATGTTTACACCATTAATTGACAAACAGATACATCGCGATTAAAATAGAACAGGCCGTGCTTGTACTCTTATAATTACAAATTTCAAAACAACCACGAAAAACAGTAAATAGCACTCCTCGCCATCGTAAACAAACATGTGCTTGTTCTAAAGAGTACATTACAATTATTCTTAAAGTAGATTATTTAAATTTGGGCATGTCGAATAATTTTGAGTTTTGTTGTTTTTTTTTTTATTCAAACTTCAATTCATACATTTGCAAGACTTATTGTCCAATCAGATTGACATTATCGTTGAGATCTCAATCAGCTAATTTAAATATACCACTTAATTTCAAGTCGTCAATCTGTAGATCTTCAGACTTTAGAAAATATGGAATAACGTCTTTGTAGCTCCAACCAAACCCTCCATTTTCTTCCCAGTTATTGTATACTGCAGGACTACCTCTTAAATATAACATTCTGTTTAAGGTACTTGATCCTCCTATCACACGCCCTTGAGGCAAGTGACATTTCTGAAAGACAAAGATATGAAACACTATTTATAAAATCTAGAAAGCACCATTGCTTGTTTTATTTCATCAATTTGCAACACATGGTGCCGAAAGAATATTCGTAATGCTTTGAAGTAAAACAAATTTTACTACTTATCCAATAAAATTGTGAATGGAAATGGGGAATATGTCAAAGAGACAACAACCCGACCAAAGAGCAGACAACAGCTGAAGGCCACCAATGGGTCTTCAATGCAGCGAGAAAATCCCGCACCCGGAGGTGGTCGTCAGCTGGCCCCTAAATAAAATTGTGTACTAGTTCAGTGAAAATGGACGTCACACTAAACTCCAAAACATATAAAGGAACTAATATTAAAAAACATACAGGACTAACAAAGTCCAGAGGCTCCTGACTTGGGACAGGCGCAAAAATGCGGCGGGTTAAACATGTTTTGTGAGATCTCAACCCTCCCCCTATACCTCTAGCCAATGTAGAAAAAAGAAACACATAGCAATACGCACAGTAAAACTCAGTTTAAAAGAAGTCCGAGTCCGATGTCAAAATAGGTAACAAAAGAGACTAAGCAAAATGACAATGATACATAAATAAACAAAGGACTACTAGCAGTTACTGACATGCCAGCTCCAAACCTAAATTAAACTGATTGAAAGATTATGTCTTCATCATATGAAAATCAAGTACAATCCCTCTGACTCTCACCAAGCTACTGTAACAAACTAGTTTTAGTAAGCTTATGCATGGGTTTGAATATACCTTTGGTTTAAATACCATTTATATTTCAAATTCAAAGTTTATGAAGATAAGTCTAAGAAGTGTATAAATAAAGACCAACCTTAAATCTATTTGGTATCGGATCATCTAGGCGATACATTTACTACACAAATAAGAAAACATTATAAATTAAAGTCTTAAAATTGTGCAACGATACTGATATAAGATAACATTAACAAGATGAACAAGATGTAATAAAATCGTAAAGACTAAAACTTCGGCTCAACAAATGGCCGTCTTCAGTATCAATGTGTTTGAACAATGAAATGACTGTTTGAAGTTAAATAAGAGTACCATTTGATTTTTATGGTGGGGGGGGGGGGGGGCTAGGATGAAAAATTTTGTCCTGCATTATTTTGTTGTTGTAATCTCTGACCTGCCTTTTTATTTTTCACTCTATTCGGTCCTGCCTTTTTTTTAAAAGTTTATCCTGACTTTTTTTTACCTAAATTGTCATCCTGACTTTTTTTTGCAAGTGTCTCATCCTGCCTATTTTTTTCAAATTTCATCCTAGCTCCCAAGTACAAACCCGGTGATGGATTTAATTCGGTAGGTCACATTCGGGGAAAAGGGGACGGGATTGTAGTGAACATAATATTTAATTTGTACTTTAAACTTTATAAGGATCTTGACAAATTAAATACAGATTAAAACTTAAAATAAAACATGTAAACCGTAAAAATTCAGAGTACGATTTTCTGAAAATCTCAGGATCTATTGAGTTTTCGAGTGACCTAATTAGAGTACGAGTTATTTCCCTTTGTCGCCAAATTGGAGGTCAACTTGCTCAAATTCCTTCAAAAACCAACCAAAATAAACTGAAAGTACTAAGCACCAGAATGTAATAAAAGTAATATTTTTATGAAAATGTTTAATTTGTTAAATATTTGTATAACTCATCACTACACTCAAGTAAGAATCTTTTCTCAGACTAGCTTATCGATATCCTTTCAAGACAAAAAGACGAGAGGTCAAAGAAATGTCCATAAATACATTTTTTCAACAAAACAAACTTGCTAGAGTGGTAAAAAAACCAGGTTGAACTAAGGTGAACCAGAAACGTGAGCAGTTCCTGATCCACTAGTAGCATCCGTCGTGTTACACATTTAAAGTCACGGCGACAAGTTGAGTCATAAATGAGGAACAGAGGACATGATTGCGGCAATGTCATAAGGAGCATGTTTATCAGTGGACATCTATGACATGTGCGTTTCATAACGGTCAACCAAATGGTAAGTAGAAATTTATTTGGAAGCATCATGTCAAAATGTAACATTCAACGACAATGTTGTTATTTCGAGCGCAACCTTGAACAAGCGGATGTACTGAATCAGATATCGTAAATCTTGTCTTAACTTAGACAATGTTGAAAGATTTTCTGATTTGACTCCGTATTATGTATCTGTGTACGTCAGAACACAAGGATTTTGATAAAACAAGTAGTGTTCATCATCATCGACATAACCATATCGCTCTCTTGGTGTGTATATCTATAGTGTTGTCAAGATTAATATTATATATCAATATCAACGTCTTAGATATTGATTACTGAAAAAAATGTAATTTCTAAAGTGTCAAAATTGACTTTGTTCATGTTGAAAGAATATTTTATCTGAAGGACTGTTGATTTATTGTTGTTTGCTTAATGTCCAGTGGAAAATATGTCATGGATGTGTTTCGGCTTGGTTGTCTGTGCTTGCTAAATATCCTGTGCAAATCGTTCATGCAAGTCTTGACGAACCCGAGTAATAAATCCTATAATAAGGTTCTGACAAGTCAGTCGATCGTGAAGAAGGTGGAAAATTTGAACCGCCCTTGAGTAAACAGGCCACTCATGGGCTCGTCAAAGTTTTATTTATAGGGTTCTCAAACTACAGAGATCGTGAAACTCTCCCAACAAGAAGCATAAAACTTTAAAGTAGTCAATTCCAACCAGATGTGGCTAAGTATTTATACATCCCGATATCAATTAACGGACATCCGTACAGCATTTGTTTGACTGCATGCCGGGTCTGAGAAGTATGAGTGATCATATTCTAAAACATTAGTCAAATCTTGTGATCGACTAGAAAACACAGATTCATTAATATGAAAAAATGTAGATGTGGGTTAATATCAATGAACTTGCAACCTAAGAGTCATTGTGACGAAATTGATAACATAATAAAATCGTTATATCTTTCTATTGCATCAAAGTGTGATAATTTCATTAATGACAATCAAAGGGTGATGTATTGTGGATACTTAGCCTACTAGTGCAGAAATGTCAGTTGGAACCTCACAAACATCGAAAATGACAAATATATTAACCTAAATTGGCATTATCCGAAAACACGAATTAAAAAAAAAATTAAACATGACCGGCAACCGTAATCAAAAAGATGTTTTACCAACCATACCATCTTTGAATAAAACTTTTTTGTACAAATCTTCCTTTTTCGGAAAATAAGCCTTTGACTCATATCAGATTATCAATGACAAGATCATGCAAGGGTGCTCTTTTAGGGCAATTTTTGCAGTTTTGTATTCAATACAGGTATTTTAAAGACTTAAAACAAATATGTAAATAGATATAAGAAGATGTGGTATGAGTGCCAATGAGACAACTCTCCATCCAAGACACACTTTGTAAAAGTAAACCATTATAGGTCAAAGTACGGCCTTCAACACGGAGCCATGGCTCACACCGAACAGCAAGCTATAAAGGGCCCCAAAAAATGTCTAGCGTAAAACCATTTAAAACAGGAAAACCAACGGTCTAATCTATATAAAAAACGAGAAACGAGAAACACTTATGAACCACATCAACAAACGACAACCACTGAACACCAGGTTCCTGACTCAGGACAGGTGCAAACAAATGCAGCGGGATTAAACGTTTTGATAGGTGCCAACCTTCACTCTACCTGAAACAATTATAGTGTAACATCACAACATAGAAAGACACACTATAAAATATAAATTGAAATGGCTTAACTCAATCAAAAGACATATTAACAAAAACAAGTGAACATACACTGAACGAATAAATTTGATCTATGACACAATGTAAATACAAAATTGATAAAACAAGGGGGTTAGATGTAAAACAATATCAGAAAGACAACCACAACCTTGGACAAAATGCCGCCAAATAAAAGACAACATTCTGAAATATAAATACTGATTATCCGACAGACTAAAGTTTTAAAAACATCTGAAAAGTGATATTTGATAGATTTATAATATATAAACATTTTGCATTAAAAATTCTAGCAGCAAAAAAAAAATGAATCTCCTTTTGACGTTTATATATCAGACAATATCAACGCCCTTGGAACGTATAAACATTTATCTGACGTGTGCGTTCTGATTAAACCTAATGAAAAGATCAAATCGAAGGAGCACTTGGTTATTTTCGATAAGATAAGCAAGAATCATTGTTTTATATCAATATTATTGCTATTATTGTATACATTTGCTTCTATTTACATCAGCAGCGGCTGATAGCTGGGTGCATAAATAATGGTTATGAGAGTTTAATTTCCAATTTTACAAATGAAATGAATATAGTAGAAATATTTTATCTCAATATATCTTTTTTGAATATATAAAAAGAATGAAAAAGAGAGGCGAAAGATACCAAAGGGACATTATTGCTCATAAGTCAAACTGACATTTTCCTACTATAATTACAATCGCATAATTCTTCCTTGCTGTGAATAGTTTATATTACCCAAGTTCATAATACTTCGTAGACCGTTCATACTTATTTTGGTTTGTTAGCTAATGATAGGGAATTGTGTTGGTTTTGTTTTTTCGAGAGTCATGTTTAACCCCACCACATTTTCTTGCAGCTGTTCCAATGGCATGTTCGGCCTTTGTCGGTAATTGTTGTATGACTTCTCTGAATACGGGCATTGTTTTTTTTTTTTTGTAGTTTAATGGGATCTTTATTGTTTTTGTTAAATTTTTCACAACTTTGCTAGATTCTGGTTGATTAAGAGCTTGGTAAATTTTGTAGAGACCTGTCCTTTGTTGAAAACTCCCCCTATGTATGCCGTTTGGTTATTTTTGTCGTTTGCATGGTTGCACAACTCCTTTTATAGATATTGTTTAATTTCAATATGTAATTACATTTGTCAAAATTTGTGTCATGTTCGGTTTAGGGGACTTTAACCTGTGTTCCTTGCATAAAGCCTGGAGTGTCAAATATGTCACGCATTTTCAGTACGATCTCACAAGAAGTTCAGTTGGAAAAAAAAAGGAGTCTGCACCAAGGAGGCTATATTAGAATACAATCTCTTGACTGAACTGAGTACTTTACAATGAGGTTTTTATTATAAATTCGATTTTCATTTTTTACAATACGTTGCATGCTTTATCTTGTTTGTTTTGCTCTTCCGTTTTCCGTTCTGGAATTTTTCCATCTAATGGAACATCTTGTCTGCATGCTTTTTCAATTATGAAAATGGTATCTTTTAATAGTTTAAAGCGTGATGAGAAAACATTTTTTTTTTAACTTTCTCCATACTATGATTTCTTCATAAAAGACCAATGATCTTAGAGAATTTTAACATCTTAGCTTCGAGGAAAAGTTATACCGTATGTTCATTCAATGCGCACGCATATGATTCCATTCGCTCTTGATTTTATAATGTTGGCTGCAAATTTCAAAATATTTGGTTTGACCAAAACGGGTCTCGATAACGAGAGACTTCCATTACTCAAGGCGAGCACAGGAAGTAATCATCAGGTGACATGTCAACCAAAATTGGAGGGAATAAATAGATTCAATGAATCAATAAATAGATTCAATGAATCAATTAATCGTATGCCGCTGCTGGTGGACTGCTCGTTAGTCCCCTAGTAGTGTATCATCAACCCAGTAGTCAGTGGTTCACCATTTACATGATTTGTCGATACATTTCTTACATTTCCGTTGAGGAGTTTAAACATATTTAGAACTAATGTTCCAATATTTTGAGTTGAGGTAAACTTGACCTGTGCCGGCTTTGACTATTTGTTTAAGGTCCCTGTCTCTTCGGTCATATGATTTCTATGGTATTTATACAGCCGTGGATTTCACATGTTTGGTTCGTGATCAGTAATCAAGGTCAACTCCAGAATTAAAAGGAACGAATACAAGTAAACAAAATATATTAGAATTCCACTCCACAACACAAACAAAGACACCCAAAGTTGATAACTACTAGATAACCGATTAATTACATTCTTCAAATTTCGATGCTTGAAGCTTTCAATTTTGAAAAGCAATCTTTTTGCCATTTGTCTAGTCGGAGCATCCAATTTAGCTGAAATAAACACATTATTCTGACTACACTTGTGTTTTTCATTTTACCACAAGCATTTGTTTACACCTTTAAATAACAACCTAGTAGCAACTGTTACATTCATTAGCGTTATGTAAGCTGGCGTGAGATATATTATCTTTTGTCAATTGTAGTGCCTTCACACTGAAACAATGTATTTATATAGGAATTAAACCTTTCTACGAATTCTTAATACTTTTCACAGCAATGTCAATACTTTTACAACGAATACACAAACAAATCAAAAGGCTCTAAAGAGCCTGTGTATCTGCATCTTCAGCAAGGCCGCTTTAAAGTACCTATTAATAGTTATTTGACATTTTCAGTAATGTTGACATATTTGTAGATCTTATCCTGCTAAAAATTATCATTTAGGCAATAACACAAATAACGATTCGACAGAAGATTTCGGTCATTGCGGCTTATTTGTAGATCTTTTCTTGAGGATCAGTTCTACATCTACGACACACTAGAAAAGGGTACTTTTGACCCATCACTCAAGTATAAATTTGTTCTATTTAAAGTCTCTATCTATTATCTATTACAGTTTTCAAGATAATAGGCAAAAATTGGGGGAAATCGCCAAAAAAGGGCAATTACTTCAATAAAAAATAAACTTACGATTTTAGTTATATCGACTTATTTGTAGAATTGTCTTACTGATCATTTTTGCTTTTTAAAGTTTCTATCTATCTATTAAGATAAAAGGCAAAAACCGAATAAATTGGTAAAAATCGTCATTAAAGGGCAATAACTTTAAAATGGAGTCGACTAAAGATTTCGGTTATGTTAACTTATTTCTAGATCCTGTCGTGCTGATAATTTTTTGCTTTTTTTTTTTTAGATTCTATCTATCTGTTATAGTTTTTAAGATAATAGGCAATAACGTAAAAAAGGTAAAATACGTCATTTAAGACAATAACTCCTATAAGAAGTCGCCTGACAGTTTTGACGTAAATAAACAATATAGGTAGAGAACATTGTTGCCCTGTCAGATTTTCTCTTTTTATTACGGTGATTCAAAATAAACGGCAAAACTTGCATTTTACCCCTATGGTCCATTTTTAGCCATGTCAGCTATCTTGATTGCCAGGCAGGGTCATCGGACATATTGATACCCTCATAATGATCGTGGATAAGTTTGTTTAAATTTGTTTAAATTTGGTCCAGTACTTTCAGAGGAGAAGATTTTTGTAAAAGTTAGCAGATGATGACGACGACGACGACAGACGCCAAGTGCATGATTAGAAAAGCATTCTTGGCCTTCCGGCCAGGTGAACTAAAACGCAAATCAAAAACAAAAAGAAGCACATAACACAAGGGTTTTATATCTTACAGTTTTGACCTAGATTGTAGCAACTGTTGGATGTATCAATTTTATGCAACCTGGCATAACAACTATTACTGGTATATGTTCAACTGATTGACTATTCTTGTATTCATCGGGTTGAAACAACCTCAACATAGATAACGTAAGAAGCTCATGTGCGTGCTATATTTTTCCATTGCAATGTACAAGTACTTCCTGTTGCATTAAAACAACTAACAGCACCAGTTTGCTTCGGACGCAAGAAATTTATAAAACGTTGTTTTCATATTTTACAGGACTGGGTCGAGGCTGGTGGACTAAGTCCATGTGGATATAATCAGCTCAGTAGTCAGTACTTCGGTACTGACATGATTTATAACAAACCTTTCTTAAATTGTTCGTTTAAGAAAATAAGGTACCAACTCCCTCAGGCAAAGTTGACCTTGGATGGATTTGGCTATCATATTTAGGCCCTTTTTGGTCATATAGCTCTTCAACTGTTTCGGTTTTTATACATCCATGGCTTTCAAATATTAGGCAGTAAAACATTTTGGACGCATGATAAATATAATATCGTCATTCCCTTCGCCTATATCACCCTGCTCAGTCGCTCCGCAGTTTATAAAGTGTTGTTTCATTTCTTACTATCAATAATTGTTGCGAGAATGTAAAGTATATGTAGCAGGTGCGGATCCGGGATTTTGAAAAAAAGTGGCCCACCGACAAGAAATTGTTAGTAGTGAGACTTGTGAGACAGTCTATGCATTAACCATATATGTAGCTCCATCAAGGACCAGGGCCCCCTGCATACACTCTAAATTTGCCTCTGCGTAAGTTGGTTGTTCTTCAAAAACAGAGCCAACCAACGACACAAAGTACCAGAAGACATAAAAAATACGCCAAACTGTTTTCAGCAATAAACTGGTTCTTTACAATAATTCCAGAAAAAACTGTTAATAAATTCAACCGAGAGTTTAATTTGTCATTAATGGATTAATTCGTTTTGTACTAGATATTGACAATCTTCAGTTTTTTTAATACAACAAATATTTAGTATAACTTCAACAACAATTATTATTGATAAAATAAGTACAAGTATTAATGCCGATTCAAAAACAGTGGGTATAACCATGGAAGTATTATATTGACAGGAACTCCAACGAAAAATTAGCACTTTTCCCAGTTCCTGTCAATATAATACTTCCATGGTATAACGTTCCCAAGTTGAGAATAGAGAGACCAATGATAATGAATGTAGAATTAGCAAACATCTTCAAATTGGTAGATCTTGAACCTAATCTTAATAACAAGGTAAGTTAAATTGTTGAAAAAATATAAAGATTGCTATAAAGAAAAAAATAGGCGGAAGACATCAAAGAGACCCTCATACACAATGAGACATGTTAATGATACAATGAAATCGCTGTTTTTGTTTGTTTGTTTGTTTGTTTGTTTGTTCGTTGTTGTTTTGTTTTGTTGTTTTGTTTTTTTGTTGGTTTTTTTTTTGGGGGGGGGGGACTTTATACAGTGTTAAAAGACATAGTCAATTTCTTACCTTATCTTTGAATCCTTGGAATGCTTTTGACTGTGGTTCCGTAAAGTAATTCCAATCAAACTCTTTATAACGCAGGAAAGAAGAAAGGAGAGGGATGTCTACATTCGGAATTCTATCCTCCTCCCCTCCTGCCTCTAAAACAAGGACTTTTATACCAGGATCCTCTGAAAGACGATTGGCAAGCACCGACCCTGCTGTTCCGCCACCAACTAAGATATAAAAAAGACACTTCCTAAAGTATGATGGTTTAAAATAAAAAAATCATGCTTAATGTTAAGAAACAATGTTTTTTTTTAAATTAATAATAAGCACTATTGCAGATAATTTTGGAATAAATCACTCTGTATTTATTTAAAGATCTCTATAAAATAATAGGAGATACACTAAGTCACTAATTAGATTATTTCTAACATTAGAGAAAGACAGACAACTTACAAGGAAGCACGATGTAAAATAGTAGTATACAAGAAGGAGAACATGGTGAAAGGAAAAACACAACGAGTTTTGTTATATATAAGTATGTAAATGGAGACTAAGGAAGAAAACTTTACGTAAGCTGGGATACACATCTTCGGGTTATTAATTTCCGTGCCATGGGATGGAAATTATACGTTCGATGTAGAATTCAAAAGAGACAAGCAACAACACGAATACAATATTGCAATCGCAAGAGAATGAGCGAGAAAAGAAGAAATGAAAATGAAAAAATAAAATTTATTGAAGTAAATATTATTATACAACAAAATTAATAATTTCACGAAAAATTGACAGCATGCAGGCATTCAAGGAAAATCGATTAGAAAAAAAAACATCTTAATATAACATACTAGTTTCATCTTAAGTAAGTGTTGAGTGACTGTAGCTAATGACGCACTTGGTTGGTAAACAATTAAACCGTTTCTGTTGTAATAATTAAACAATGTTTGCAATTAATGTAATATACTGTAACAGTGTTGGCATCCGTCAAAATCCGGGACATTAATTAGTAACATTGTTCTAGTTGAATAGCAAATATATCTGTTGCACCAGGTGAATTGCCTTTGCACTTTCAAGTATACCTAGTAAAATATTTTTTTATAAAGAAACTGACGACCAAAATCTAATAATTCATTGATTAAAGACTTGGTTGATTGCCTAATAGTATTTTTAATTGTCTAAAAAATAATTACTATGATGTGCATCTTATAAAAAAATCCATATAAAAATAAGAAAGTGTTGTAAAATTGCAAATGAGACAAGTCTCGACTAGACACCAAATGACGTAGAGGTTAACAACTATAGGTTTCCGTACGGCCTTTTAACAATGACCAAAATTCATACCTGCATAGCAAGCTATAAAGGGCAACGATGTGACAAATATAAAACAATCCAAACGAGGATACTAACGGCCACTTTTATGTACAAATAGAAGACGAATGCCCCCGCTCAAGCTTGCCTATAATATGTTAATATTTTTAGAACGGACGGAAAGATGGATGGACGGACGGTCAAGGGTAACACTTAATTCCCCTTCACAAAGCGGCGGGGCATATAATATGAACGGGAAACAAATATTGTATGCAGCAACAAACGACAACCACTGCATTACCGGTTCCTTTCTTGGAACAGACACATACAGAATGTTGCTATGTCAAACATGTTTGCTGGTGCCATACATAAAATAGTTCAAACAATGATTATAAATAGCTATGCGTGTCAAGAGATTATTTTAGACTAGACTGATATTTTCACCATCTAAGCAGCTACGAAAACATGTAGGTCTATGATTAAAATAATGAATATAAAATGTAAAAAGGACAATAGTAGAGCCAATTTAAGTCAAAATATACACAAATCTACATTGGGAAATTCTTAGGCAGACAATAGTGTCAAAGAAAAAATCCAAGATGTACACTTTAACCCAATATAGTCTGACAAGATGTATATGTCAATTCTGTTGAAAGCTATAAGTTTGATTCACGTGGATACTGTGCGTTTGCACGTTTACAGCTTATTCTCAGAAATTAATACTCAGTTAGATACTGCCATTGGTGATATGCAATAATATGAGGTCTTTGAGCTATATTCCACAGTTAAGTGACTTTACATGATCTAAAAACTAAAAACAATTCTTTACGTCCGTGTTCAGTTTCTATATACTTAATAATCTTTTTGCATATTTCTTGGTGTAAGGATGTATGCAGGCCTTTAAGTTCGGCTTCATTTATTGTACGATATCAAAGTTAATGGCCAAGTTCTGACCTCACATGCTTTGACTGCCTAACTACCTATAACTTATTGTATGGATAGCTGGAGATTAAAGTACACCCCCCCCCCCCCTCCCGACAAATGGCGATCACTCTCATATTACACTTCATTGACTTCTATCAAGCTTTACGTCTGAATTTAGATCACTGATCCCCGAGGGTTGATTAGGGTAAAACATATGGTCATACTTAGATTTTTCACGTCCAGCAGTAAAACTCTCGTTTAGAATGAGCGTCCTGGTTTAGCTGTGTGAATGTATAATAAATATGCATCCATGCCGGTTCGGTTGGAATGGACACGCTGTGTAGAGTCAGCAATCGCGATTAAAAAATAAAAAAAGTGTAACAATCTCTCAGGGTTTCGTATATAGGTGACCAGTTACAAGGGAAAATATATGCATATCCAACAAATCCTTGTTTTCCAGTGACAGTACAATTTCACCGCCCTTCATTCCGGTCGACCTACCTGTTGTTTAAATTGTTAGTGTGTTCTCGTCCTGATTATTCATGAAATATTTGTCACTGGGCGTTAAGCAAGTCATAATAAATCAGGTAATCAATACCTGATACTTAAAGTGAATTAAACTCATACATATAGCTACCCTATTCTTTTCCAAGAATTCATAAATGATATTTGTAATCAATACCTGATACTTAAAGTAAATTAAACTCATATATATAGTTACCCTATTCCTTTTCAAGAATTCATAAATGATATTTGTAATCAATACCTGATACTTAAAGTAAATTAAACTCAAATATATAGCTACCCTATTCGTTTCAAGAATTCAGAATTCCTAAATCAAAATTAACTTAAAATTAAAAATTCAGAATACTTGTTAGAAATTTTATTCAGGTTTTAGAAAAGAACAATTCAAACTTAAACTCAAAAACAAAAGCAAAACAAATCAACAATAAAATGTCCGATACTTGATTTATTTTATATATTGTTGTTTCGTTTGATTGTGTCCATCTGTTTGTCTCTCGTTGGTGTAGGAGGCCTTGGTAGCCGAGTGGTATACGTAGTTCATCGTGCGTTCGATTCCAATCTTAATTGACTAGGATTGCCATTTATCCTCTCGAAGGTCGGTGGTTCTACCCGGGCATTTAGGCTTCCTCCACCAATACAAACTGGTCGCTACGACATAGCCAATAATGCTGAAAGTGGCGTTAAAACACCAACAATCAATAAATCGATCTCATATCTTCATATCTAACATCTTCATATAGAGAGTTCTTTTTTGGAAAAGGTTAAACATACCAAAATTTGAAAAGCCTGATTAAAGAATCTATTATTTTCTAAAGGGACTTACTTATCACGAAGTCATATGTACCATTGATGTGTTCTACGATTGCATATCCAACACCTACTGTATGTACATACACAACACCAAATAGTCCAACGAAAAGTCCTAATAAAATCCACCATGCTATGGTACTTCTATAAATTAAAAAAAATATTTTAATGGTTTTTCATTGGTTATAGGAAATTAAGCTTTACAAGTGAAAGAGAGAACGGTGTACATATAGGTATAAAATGATGAGCCGACCACTCTTTGCTCTTACTCCTTAATGCCGCGTGCGTAGCGGAGAAGTAGATAATATAAAAATAAGAAGACGTGGTATAATTACCAATGAGACAACTCTCTACAAGAGACCTAATGGAATATTTAGACAGCTCTCTCACAAGCAAACAACTATAACTGTAAAACTTATAGGCATACACCTCAGACACGGGGTTCAATCTACTGTATCCACACAGCACGAGTAACAAACCCTGGCTGCAGTAAATATAAAAATAAATAGATGTGGTATAATGCCAGTCTTTGATTTAAATTATTTTTGTAAACCCCGTTTTTCGGAAGAGTTCAATCATTGCCTTATTTTCTGTGGTTCGGAGATTGTTGTTTGTCTTTTTGTCGATTTTTTGGGCGGCAATTGTTGTTTTTGTCTGCAGCTTATGATTTATGATCTGTCTCTTTTATTCTTTAAATCAACCGCTCATAAATAGTTAGGATCATTCTAAACACTGACTTTTTAACAAACTACAGACAAAGATTCGGCACACATTTTTTTCGTGTTTTGAATGCTCCTGAACTTCATAAACAGAATGATCTAGTAGCTGACCATAAATGATTTTTATAGATATTCGGGAAACGATGCAATGATTAGGCGAACAATGCTGCAGATATTTTGTCACTGTTCTTAAGTGTAAACAAAATACTACTGAGACGGATGACGACTAAAACTTTGACTGCAATTTTTTGCAAAATAAAGAATTCTTGTTGAATCAAACTTTTTTTGTTCATCATTGATATAGTGTACGCTATTATGAAATATATGTGGAATTCTTTAGATTTTGAATTGTCGAATTTTAATACTCTGATCTCGGTCAAAGAAGGTTTTTTTTTCCTATGTTCTGACGCTAAATAGATTAATTCCTTTAAAGTATATTATCCTAAAGTAACGTTTTAAGGTTACTATCAAAGAGGGTCTGATAGGGTTTTTTTGAAAAGATTATGTTTAAATAATGCAATGAAAAGAGCAAAATGAGCTAAAAAAAAAAAAAAAAAAAAAAAAAAAAAAAAACTAAAAACTAAAAAGAATAATGTGTTGCAAAAGTATAAAGAATAACTGTGGATAATAAAAGAATTAGGTAATACAATACTGAATACAGAAATGAGCGATATACAGAATAAATAAATCATATAATTGCTGAAAAATTCATAGTAAAATATCTTCATTAGAATTTTACAGAATAAGTGTTATTTTTAAAGATAAAGAAAAATTCCCTAAACATTTAAAGAATACAGAATTAAGGACCCCCATCCAGATCCAAATCAAACGAATTTAAAAAAAAAATGAATTCATTGTTATCACCAAATGTTCATTGCCTATAAAAATGGAGATGTCGGAGGATTTTCTGATTTGATTCTGAAACCTACCTTGATGTTCGCACAGGATGGTGGATATTTGCCGCAGTTAAATATCTGAAAATGCGAAAGACGTAAACATTAACAAATTATCTCTGAGCATATTTCACAGAGAAAACAAATATATTAAAGTAGGTTCTTGATAAACACTAGAAAAACGAGGGTATCATCACACTTAATTTTTATAATTTAATTCTAAATTTCATTTTTAAGGAGTAAACATGAAAAAAAAAAGTTGATGACTTCACGGTCACATGACAAAATTATGTCTATGAGCTAGACAAAAAACTTTCAGCCAAATCAGAAGACGTGTTACATCCAAAATTAAATTATATTCATTTAATTCTTTATTGGTAGGTCATTTTTATCTTTTGCTGATTCCACATTAAGTTAGTATATTGATAAACCTTCGTTTGTCCAAACTTTTGAGTCTTGAAAATTCAAGTAAAGGTGTATCCAGAAACCAAATGCAGAAAAGCGCATATGAAACGTTCTACTTCGTAGGTCTGCATCGATATATGTCCAATACTGTTAACAATAACAATTACATCTATAGAGTATATCATTAGCCAATTGGTCAAAACCGAAGAAAACCACGAATATAACCTCTGGTACGGTTACCTTATATGGTCCATGCGTCTTATATATCTTCCAATGTATTTTTTTTCCTTATCATGCTTATGTCACAACAAGTTTGGCTTTTGGAATTACTGATGGAAAGAACAAAACATAAATGGTGCATCGGACGTGTTGGTATATAAAAAAAGGTTTCTCAGTTATTTTTTTAATTTCATACTTTATCACATCATAAGCTGTTTGTTTTTGTTTGATTTTTGTTTGTTGCTGTAAATGAAGTGATCAGTATTATGGAGCTACCATTTGATTTTTATGGAAAGGGGGGGGGGGGGGAGGGGGAGGGGGGCTAGGATGAAAAATGTTGTCCTGCATTTTTTTTAGTTGTAATCTCTGTACTGCATTTTTATTTTTCACTCTATTCGGTCCTGCCTTTCTTTATTAGTTTATCCCGACTTTTTTTATATAAATTGTTATCCTGCCTTTTTTTTTGGACAAGTTGCTCATCTTGCCTTTCTTTTTTACTCAAAACTCCTGTCCTGCCTTTCTTTCAAATTTCATCCTAGCCCCCCCCCCCTCCCCCCCCCCCCCCCCCCCCCACAAAAATCAAATGGTAGCTCCCTTAAAACGTGTTGCGTTTTATTAGAGTTAAATTTATTATATTGAGAGCGCTGATCTTTTTCTCTTTTATCATCTTTTCATGCCTTACAACGTGTAAATATTCCTTGCTTACGTCAATACATCTATAAAATTAAAAATGAAATAGAGATTATGTAATTTCTGAAATATGAGGTCATAAAATTTGTTATCCGTGCATTTGAAATAGTTTGAAAGTTTTGCTTCAGGTATTTAGCGAGAAGAGGCGGTTAAAATTACTTCTAAGAAGGGGATAGGCGTGGTTAGGGGTCGGGACAAGAAAAAGTTGAAGTTCAATAAAAATGTTTATGGCCTTCAAAATGGGGTTTAGAAGAAAAATGTCTATGGCAGTGCCCCAAAAGCGGTTTATAGTTGATGGTAAAGGAATTTGAATGCAAATATTATAGTATGTTAAAGTTTAACATAGCTTCAAAAACTTAGCTCAAAGTGGTAGAGGAGTGGTAAAATTTAAAAGCATTTCCCTTTTCATAAAAACAAATACTGCTACTAGAGTGTATAATACATCATGACTTTTTCTTGTATATAAATTCAGCTTATTTCTATGAAAGGATGTACTAATTTCCATGCGTAGTTTTCTTCCCGCTGGTGGTAGATTTTGATTAACTTTGACGCAATAAAAAAAATAAAACAATTTGACACAGCATTCTGGCAAAGACCCAGGCTAGTTGTATCAACAATATCAAAAATTGAGTACATAACAAAATTTGAAAACTTAATTTAGTTTATTTCAGTAATGAAAAATACAACTAAAACCAATGAAACCATTTAAACCAGAGAATGAGCTCAGAATCACCGGAAGGGTAAGAATTTTCTGGTTACTAAATACGAAGCATAAAGGCTTATAATTGTTTAAGTCATATGCAACTTCAAATTAAAAAAAGTTGAATATGTTTTATATACTTGAATGTCTAAGTTTTACTATAAAACAAGTGTACATAAGAAAATCCTTTATATTATCAAAATCTTCATAAATGTACTGCTATTGATTTTTTGTCTTCCCGTACACTAACTCGCAGATGTTTTCCCGTATGCCGTGACCTTAATCACGAGACCACTCGTTAAATCTTCGGCTACGCTTTTCGTGAATTAAATACGTTAATTCGTAAAAAGCGTGCTATATATATAACGTATCCAACCAAAATACCAATAGGAAAATTTATAGTCATTTCTATTACATTTTGTTTTATTCTTTCATGAAGTGGAGGAAATTAAACGACTAAAATTCCAGTGACAATTTTTTTGAAAGAATTATATTGTCACGATAAAAACAAGTATCCACCAATTTATCAATATCGCCTCTTCGTTTATAGACCACGTTATTCCTTTTTGTAGCTCTCCTTGGGCATTAATTTGTATCAAGTACAATGTATAGTGAACCATTTTTAATTTAGGGTTAGGTTTACAAGTTTGGCTAGTGTTAGGGTAAGCCCCCTCACTCCCCCCTTTTTTTCTCGATTTGTTTTTGATATATTGTTGTGTATGCATTTTGTTTACATTTATTAGGGCATTTTATGTTCATTGTTTTCATAGTTTACTAGGTCAAGGAGGCGGAGCTAGACAATTAAATAACAACTTTTGAGATGGAAGTTAGAGCACTGGTCTAAGCTCCTCCCATTCTTTGCTTTTCCTATGACAAGCGACACACGGCGGGACTGGAGAGACCATTCAGTTTACGCACTCCTCTAAAAATAACCGACGTTAACTCGCTGGAAGATCAAAGGAAAAATTACCATTCATGTTACAAGAATTGTTTATTTAATGAATATGTGATATGTTATTCATTTATTAATATAGAGAAACTATGAGCAAGAGAAAACCCATTTCTCTTCTTTAATGTTATAATCTTGATGAAATTGTCGGTAAATTAGAGATGAATCTTAATAATTATGTTATCAGCTGGTAAAAGTGATATTTATAGAAAATAAAAGCATTTTTTTCAAATATTTTTGGCATTAAAATGGAGGACATATTTTCACGTAGTAAGACAATATGGTCAACGACTGTTAAGCAGAATTTTATTTCATAAACAGAAATTTTTAAAAAGATATCGACGAATGAACTATCAATATAAAAATAAGGAGATGTGGTATGCTTGCCAATGAGACAACTATCCACCAAAGTTCAAATGAAGTAGATGTAAGCAATTATAGCTAACCGTACGGCCTTCAACAATGAGAATGGTAAACGGTCATAAATCTGTCGTGTAAGTTGCTTGGTTGTCGTTTACCTTCAGTCCAATGCCAAATATTTCTTGCATAGTCAGGACGACAACAAAATAAACAATCAATACAGAATATATATTTTCTGCAATGTAGACCGACCAGGAACACGAAGGGCGGGACAGTCTGAAAGTTTTGCCTCCAGGTATATTTAGCGAATGATGAAAATTACTTCTGAGAAGAGGAAAAGCGGGGTATTTTGCAGGGTACGAAAAAATTGATGATCAATAGAAATATCCTTCAGAATGATTGAGTAGAAAAATACGAATCATGGTCGATTGTAATAGATTTTGAATGGCACTGTTTAGTATGTAAGTGTTTCGTAGCTGAAAGTTAAAATTCTAAGCCTTTCTGTTTTTCGACTAACCGTGAAAGCAATCGTCTTCTTATAAGAAAATTACTATTACAAGAATATAAAATATATCATGACTATTTCTTGTATATGAATGTAGCATATTTCTTTGAAAGAAAGAACGTTATAATCTAATCTTTTGAATTTCAATATTGCATCATTTTAATTTTGACTTAAGAAACGCTTATCTTCTATCGCAACATGAATAAACTTTCCATGCAGTTTGATGCTGCTTTGAAATAAAATTCGGTCTTAAGTCAGGTCTATTTCAGGGCTCTAGAAGTGTTCCAAGGTAAACTTTCTGATTACTTGTCAAAGATAGACATGATAAATTTCTCTATGTGAAACCGATGACGTAAATTGGTAAATAAATACGGGGGTAAAAAATCAATCAGCTGCTGTTAATTAAATGTTAAAAAGTGCAATTGAATAGTAGTATCTCAAAGAATTGCTTTATGGGTAAATAATGCTGGATGCTTGAAATCTAACATCAACTATGACAACCTATCAATATTAACCATAAGATAGCAATTAAGGAACTTTTTACGAATGATATTGATTGATTAATAGTTTCTTTAGATCACACGACAAGGGTTGACTGCAATTGTAAGGAGATAGGATTTGCATGATTTCTAATTTACTTTTATTAAACGCAGTGAAAAAATATAGAGATAATTGTTATGAAAAAACCCAACAAACAAAACATAACCAAAGTCCCTTCATATTATAATACTGGTTGTAGGAAAGGCTAAATACTTCAGGCCAGACTCCGGTTGAACTGCAGTTGCTTAAAATGAACACCTTTTCCAGAAAAATATTGTTCTTTCCAGCCTCTGTATATGTGGACAAGTTGAGAGCAGCAAACACTATCTGCTAGAATGTCATAATTATAGATTCATTAGGACACAAACCATTTCCACACTATCAAGATATAATATACAAACATTATTATCAGGTAGTGAACTCATCAGTGATGAGGAAAACGAAAATATTTCTAAAGTTGTACAAAGTTTTATTTTGGAAACAGGGATATTTGGTTCATAAACTTTTATTTTTATGTCGATTTAGATGTTGAAACTTTATAATTTAACCTTATTTTTTGAAATATTTACATATTTTCACAGCTACATGCGAGACCATAATTATAAAAATGAGTTGATCACATTTTTCGATCAAACTGACTTCTGAGTAACGTGCAAACAACAGAATAAACATATAATGTAAATTGAAAATTATATTATGCGGGTGTCTTACAC